CAAGATGTCCTCCCCAAAATACGTTTCCAATGAAACGTTTCAAAAAATTGGTTTCAGTAACATTCTTTTTATGTTCCATTTATGCCCTCGATATTTTTGTTTTACGTTTCAGTATATATTCAGAAATGTTTGAGTAACATAAAAATTTTATTACCATATTGTTCTCATAATGCTCTCAACTTTAGATCATTTTCATTTCAAAAGCGTTTTTGAAATAGTATAAATAGTGTGAGTATTTTTTTAAATATCTCTAATGCTCCTTTGTGATATTTTTATTTGTATTGTGAATGACTTAATTCGAACTAAAAAAAGTTACATTGTATATTAAAAAAAATAAATATGCTCTTCTAGTTTGGGGATGCGGCAACTTTTACTAAGAATTTCTTTCTTTTTGAGAAGCCACTGAAAAAAGTTTCTAATATGGATTATGAATTTTGCCATTCATCGTACAAATAAAAATATCACAAAACAATATCAGAAGCATTAAAAAAAAACTACACATTTTATACAGTTCAAATACGCTTCTGAAATGGAAATTTTCTAATGTTGAGACCTTCATGAATATGGTAACAATGACGAACTGATAATTAGAAAAAGTTAGTTATGATTATGAATCTCAAAATGGTAGGTACATGAAAAACAAATAACATTACTGAAAAATAATATAAAGTTATAATTTCTTCTACGCATGGTCAATTTTACATATATCATTTTAATAATAATAAATTATACAGCAGAAATAAGGATACAAAATGATATCTTGACAAAGTAAATATCTGTAGATATACCTAAACTCTTTTATTTAAGCATGCCTATACACATAAACAAATATAAACCTTTGTACAAAATATAAAATAAATGACGTCTATTTCACTTGATTCATCCATATTTCAAATAGTTCTCACTGACTAAGTAGTTGCTCTTCAAATTATATCGAAACGTATAGTTGTTGTTCCATTTTCTTAGTTCTTGTCCCTTGTCCTCTTGTCTGTAATAGTAGTGGGTATAACTATATTTAGGTAGAAGTGACGCAAAATTGGAAATCTCTTTACACATATCGTTTTAAACATTTTGCATCAATATTCATTATTTTATATGCACCTTACGATAACCACAACTACACACACTACAAATTATCACATAAAATAGCGTCAAAGTAAAGATGAATAACGAAACCAAGCAAACTGACAAACCGCAAACCTAACCTAACATAATACGAATTGAAACGACACACGGGAAACGAATAAACTCGGGCTGTTACGCGCAGTCTACGCAAGTCACGAACATACATTTTTTCTAGACTTGTGTTATAAATTTGCTACCACATTTTTTTTCTAATTATGTCTTTATATAATAAAGGCAAATGAACTAACGCTTGAGAAGGATTGGGGATTGAGAGCAAAATTTAACTAATGCCGAATGTTCTATAAGATAAGCAAAAATAGCAAAGGGTTGTTCGTCCGTTATGTTTCCGAGATCGAAAGGGAATGTTTCGAGTAATGGTTCAGATTCTCTTCAATTGTAACGTTTCGGCTATGTTTCACTAAATAAGTTTTCAAGTGCTACATTTCTGTAATGAAACAGAAACGTTTCTAGTTAATGTTTCAAATGTTTAGTAAAATATCTCATTTGCAACGTTTCATTTACGTTTCGTGTTTAGTGGTTTTTTTTTATTTTGAGGACGAAGCAGCTAAGAATTCAGAACAAAGGTAAAAAATTACGGACATTCTTATTTGTCTTAGAAAACAAGCAAAACTATATATTTTTAGTAATTTTTTATTATACATTTGTGATTACTTTTTTACTGAACGCAATAGTCGGATTGTTGAAAAATGTTGTTTATTTTGAGAAAATATACAAAGCTGTAAAATTGACTTCTGCAGGAACGCAGGACAATTAAAGAAAAATTAGCTCAAATTCAGGACAGTTGACAACTCTAGCTATACCATTCTTGACCATGGTTGCGTATAAATTCTATGGTTTATGGTTCTATGGTACTTATAGTCTAGGGTTATTGTGGTTTCTGTGATAATGATAATGAATCATCTTATTAATAGTTAATCAATTACGTAGAATTGTGACACTATAGTAGAAAATAGTTTGTTAGTTTTAGTCAAACGTAAGAATATATGAACCATCAAACTGTCTAGATTGAGCTCATAGATCTACTAAGTAACCTTTAATATCAGTTTGTTTTATTACCACCATAGGTTTTTTAAATTTTGATGAAGCGAAATTAATTAATTTAATGGGTGACATAGCACTCTTGTCCCAGTCCATGGACATTTAGATTGACGCCACCTGTGCAAGCTCATCTTAATCGAATTAACTCTCGCCAGCTTTCAAACATAATCGCGTTTGACATGAATTAGCAAACAATGACAAACAATTGAATTGCCATAGTAGTTGACGGTGATCCATGGATAAAATGTTTGTTTATTAACTAAAATTTATTTATAGAAATTAGGTATAGTTAAAAGCTGAACTGAACGTGTAACTTTTATGACGTTTTGTGATGTAATAATTTGAAAATATTGGCCACTATAATTGTAATAAGGACCCACACCCCGGCGGGTATTGTGACGTATAATAAAGTACACAGTGTGTATAAAAGTATATAGACGCCGCACCGGTTATATTCGCAAACTGAGCCACGGCAGACCTAATTCCAGTGCGTCGAGCACGTGTTTGGGAATATCGATTAATGTTTAAAAGCCCTCTCGAGATCGTATTGATGCTGAAATATCGTATATATAGGGTAATTGTAGGGCAACTGTTTGGTTTTTACATGAATTTCGTACAGTTAAACTACATTTTAATAAACACAATGTTGGTCCCAAGGCTTTGAAATAACTGATCCGCTTCAGTTATTCAATAATATCGTGTTATTCTTGTTAATTGTTCATATAACTACTTTACATTCAAATATTATGAGGGGAAACTTTTAATTTTGAAATATGAGAAATTCTAATGAGTGAATGTGGTATGGCTGCTGGTAAAAATTATATGGCCTAAATATTTAATTAAGCCGAATTGAGACGCGTCAGAACGTGCAGTTATGAATATAAATGTGATAAAAGATGTAAATGGGACCTTTAGGAATGTAAATGTGACCATTAAAGCCCATTCGTTGCTGTTTGAGAACGATTAAAATAATTGTTAACGGGGCGAACCCACATATTCGCGATTCTTATGAAAAATACAGAATTGGTGGATCGTTGTAATAGATATACAATAAGGGGAAAATGTCGACTAGTTGCGTCAAGCATAGGGTGTTTTAAATTAAGTAACAAAAGTGACCACTGAATCGTGAATCTAGTGTTAAAAATATGACATTGTAGGTATCCCTGACGAGATACACATGTATCCAAAAGGTGGTTTAAATTAACTTTTTAATTTCTTCTTAATTTCGACAAAGCTAGAGAAATGAATTTCGGCATTTCGTTAATGTTTTACAAAACGAAAATTACATAGTTGTAAATTTACAAATAGGTATTTATTTCAAAGCGATTTACTCTGCTTCATATTTTCAATAAAATTAATGTTTTAAAACAATTTTACTTACTCAAGCTTTCATGGATGATTGGATGATGTTTTTTTTTTGGTAAAGCATAATGTAAATCAGCAGTTTTATTCTGTTGTTGTCACTTTGATGTCATTCAGTCGTTTTTGGTGACCTTGGATGGAGAAGCGATTCTTGAGATTAATACTTGCAGTCTGTATTTTCTATTTGTAATATACAAGCTTTAATTATTTTACATATTATCTTGGCATTTAGAGATAAGACAATAACAGCGTGAAAGGAAATTATCATCCACCCTATATATATGGCGCAGCCACTGAACATGACGCCGGAGAGTCGGCCGTTTGACCGATTTGGTCACCTAGCAACGCAGCATCCCCACTTTCTTGGAGGCACCCCCATTCTCCCTTTCGCGTATGATTCAATTATGCGACATGTTCGTTTCCTAGCGGTTTATTGACTTATTTCTTAACTTGTGTATTCCGATTGATTGAATTTTTGTTAATTGTGTCTGGGACTATGAAACGCACCGGTATTTTTACGTCATTCCGGGCGTTTTCCCAGGATTCTGAGGGGTAGTTTCAACCCTATAACCTAAAATTTGTGTGCGTAGTGGTAATTTATTCCATCATAGAAATTTCTAGGTAAATTGTGTTTGAACCTACTTGTTCTACGTACGTGTACAGCGTTTTGACTTATTCAAAACACATAATAGACTGACTTCAGTTTTTACTTTATTAATCTGGACGTATTTGAATACGTATTGATATGATATAATTAAACTCATTACATAATGAAAGTAATTGATGCCTGCAGCACCAAATTAAATTAACTTTTGAGAAACTCAAAATCTGATTGGTTATAGTGAAATAAACCAACTCTTGAATTTTTTAAATCTAAATTATTTTGAGCTCTCACAAACCCAGTCTTTCATTCCTATTTTAAATTATATAAAATATGTTACGATTAAACATTTTATTTTTGATACAGAAAATATTTGACGTTTTTCTATTTACACAAATTCCAGTTTATATTCACTGTAACATGTATATTATAAATCTTTAATCTTGCTAAATATACAGTTACTACACATTGACAAAATCCATTTAAGTACTTGTGCATTTTTAATCAGAAAATCTTTATTTTATCAACAATATTAAACAATATCACTTCTAATGGTTATCTTCCGAACATTAAATGTTGATTAAAAAAAAATTAAATGCACTTCATACTAAAGAGCCAATTACTAATTTCAAACAGAGAAACGATAGATATCACATGACATGTAAATTACACTATAAAATACATTTTTGATAACGTACTTTTGTATTGCTTCAATGTAATTTTACTCATTACTATGCACTTTTTAAAAACATCACTAATAAGAACATAGCAGTATTAAATAATTTCTAAAAATTACTTGATCTGAAAGCAGAAATCAGAGTATTTTTTATGCTAATGGTTCGTTCTCTTCCAGATTTAAATGCCCTCAACAATGTCTCTGTCTCTCAAAGTTAACATTGTGGATGGCAATGTTACAAAAACTATCGTTTTTGATCCTACAACAACTGTCTATGATGCCTGTCGCATTATTAGGGAAAAATGTACCGAAGCCAGTGGACAACGTAAGCATATTGTTCGTTTTGAACTTAATTATTTTGATCGTTCGTAAATTTCTTTTTAGATAATGAATATGGGCTTTTCCTCACCGACGAGGACAATAAGACAGGAGTTTGGTTAGAACCGGCGAGAAGTTTGGAATACTATCTGCTGCGAAATGGCGATACTGTGGAATACCGAAAAAAGACCAGGAACCTGAGAGTTAAAATGTTAGACGGTAAGTATTCAAATTGCACTTTGTAAGCAATTGAAATTTTCATAGAAACACTGTACTTTCAATAATCGCCTTGTAGGTTCGGTAAAAACTGTACGTGTGGACGATTCCCAAATCGTAGCCAACTTAATGGTGATGATTTGTGCAAAACTTGGTATTACTAACCACGACGAGTACTCGTTGGTTCTCGAAGATTTGGAGAACCAGGAGAACATAGATAACCGTAATTACGGAACATTGACGTTAAAACGCAAAAAGGAGGAACGTGAAAGGGACGCGAAAATGGAACAGTTACGTAAAAAATTACATACCGACGATGAAGTCAATTGGTTAGATCCATCTAAAACTCTACGCGAACAGGGGATTGATGAGAATGAAACTGTGCTTCTAAGAAGAAAGTTTTTCTTCTCTGACCAAAACATAGATTCCAGAGACCCCGTACAGTTAAACTTGCTGTACGTCCAAGCTCGTGATGCCATTTTGAATGGGACGCACCCTATTACACAAGACAAAGCGTGTGAATTTGCAGGAATTCAATGTCAGATCCAGTTCGGCGACCACGTAGAAAGCAAGCATAAACCCGGTTTTTTGGAGTGAGTTTATTTAGAAATTCAAATCAATTATGTCTTAAAACTATCTTATTTCAGTTTAAAAGAATTTTTACCCCAATCGTACACCAAAATCAAGGGCATAGAAAAGAAAATATTCTACGAACACAAAAAATGTCAAGGCCTCGGAGAGTTAGACGCAAAAGTGAAGTACACGAAAACCGCGAGATCCCTAACAACCTACGGTGTGACATTTTTCCTTGTAAAGGAAAAGATGAAGGGCAAGAACAAACTGGTTCCTCGTCTGCTTGGCGTCACCAAAGACTCGGTACTTCGTCTAGATGAAAAAACCAAGGAAATACTGCAGACTTGGCCTTTGACCACTGTAAGGCGTTGGGGCGCCAGTCCTAACACGTTCACCCTTGATTTTGGTGACTATTCGGATCAGTACTATTCAGTTCAAACTACAGAAGCCGAGCAGATCCAGCAGATCATCGCAGGATATATCGATATCATTCTGAAGAAGAAGCAAGCGAAGGACCACTTTGGGATTGAAGGAGATGAAGGATCGACTATGTTTGAGGAGAGCGTTGCGCCTCACAAGTAAGTTCGCAATTTTTTTATTGTTATTTAATATTGAATATAACTCGCAGAAAGAAATATTATTTTGTCAGAGCTTCTTTAGGTTTATCCTCCTGATGGACATATTATTATTATGAAGATCAAGTTTAACAAAAGTTTATTTTTGATTTAGAAAAATTCAATGCACGTATGGAGTATGACTATTTTTTATACTAGGGTGTGCATATTCTGATTTCAATTAAATTACTGAGTTTGTTGAGCTTAAAGGTTTTATCTTATGTTATTATTTTGTTAATTATTATTATTTTTTATTGTATTTACACTGAATTTTCTATTGCATCTTCCCGACTGTCAAATTCTTCAGTAGTTTATTTTTGATTTAGAAAAAAATCTTGTTAGTATAAAGGATAACTGCTTTTTCTGCTAGAGCTTGAATTGTTCTGATTGATTCATACGAGATGTTTGATGAATGATTGTTGGAAAAATAATGGATGTCGCCATGCTGTCAGTTTGAACTTCTTGATATTTCGAGAGAAACATCGAGCCCATGAATTATTCAACCATGATACTTTTCTGTCATTTCTGAACAAGTTTTTATTTCATTTTGGTCAAAGAATATCAACTATGCAAATAATCTTTTCCTTTTTATCCTGTGAAGCACAATTATTTTTTCGGTAAAGTGAAATCTCAATAAAATTTTTAATATTTATTCTAATACTGTTTGTGGTATGCATGTATAACATGGTTGTGTACCATTCTCTGGTTGATATTTTAAAACTATTCCTTGACTATTATTATGATCATTAATATTATACTGTGCATTATCTTAAATCTTAAAATTGTAAATACTGAGAAAAATATTCTGTCAATTTTAGAGCCACCATTTTGCAACACGAATCAAGTAAAATCGGTAAAATCAATACCGAGTCACTGGCTAAACCTGCTGTGATCAGAGCTGGATCTGACGGTGAGTTTAAATCTGAAAAATTCTAAAGCTGTAGAGTCATTTCTTATTTTTTCACATGTTAAATGTTTTTATTTTTATTACTTGATCGTTTATTTAGTTGTGTTTCAACTTTTAGATACCTAGTTTCATTTTGCTTAGTTGTTTTAAGTTTTTTTATTAGCAGTTTTATTTTTTGTATGATTTTTATTTGTTAGGTGAGAAAACATTTAGCATGGGTGTTATGAGTGGCCCGCAACAAACCACTGTAGGTGGATCCGTAAATTTGGGGCATGCCCCACCAACGGTAAGAACTTTTTTTATAGGTTGTGTCTAACACTTTGCCATGCCAGCGACTAATTAACTTAAAATTATCTGTAAAGATACACAGAGATGTTAGGATTTTATCTATCGTAAAGTACGATACTGACATTAAAGAATATTTTCTAATTTTCTTTTGAGTATATTTTCTTAAGTTGATAAATGAACGCATACCTAACTTCGAAGTAACTTGCGTTATTGACAGTTATTTGATGTACCTCAATTTTTTATAAACACGTAAACCAGTTGATTACATAAAGAATATTTTTTCCATGTCTCTTTCATGGATCAGTCGGCAGAGTAGGTACATATAGTTTGACTTTTTGTATATATGGCTAAAATTTTTTAGCTTTATCATTCTCTTTTTAATTTTTTATAGTACAAATAATATAACTGTAATATACATCTCATTTGCACCTTCCAGTTATTTTTTAGAATTGCATTTCATCATTAACAAATGCTTAGAGACAAGACCGATTTGCTTTGATAACACAATGCAAAATACATACTCACCTTTCACATGTCGTATTGTGATATGAAATACATTCACAAATACGCTTCGTTTCCAGTCGACAAATTTGCACCAAACAAAAATCACATCGGTTCTATCAGAACCCCAAAGAGGGCTCTTGTCCACTATATCCGCCACCCAGACAAGAATCAAAGAATCCGAGATCAACTTGGATGGCAAAGCTCACATCCCCGAACTTGGGACGGACCCGGCGGCAAAGAAATGGAAGCAGGTCACACTAGACACGCGCAAACAGAACGTGGGTTCTCAGATTGCAGCGATGAACGCTGCCACCGCCCAGGTGGTAACGCTGACTTCTGGACCTCAAGACGAGGTTGATCACAACGCTGTAGGTGCTGCGATCACCACCATAGGCAGCAATTTGCCCGAAATGACGAAAGACGTCAAAATGATCGCAGCGTTGATGGACGATAGTAACATGGGCGAGAAACTACTTGATGCGACTAGGAAATTGTGTACCGCATTTAGTGACCTGCTTAAAGCTGCAGAACCAGAATCCAAAGAGGTAAGTTTGATGTACAATAAACTTGTAATTCTCCTTACAAAAATATTTCTTGCAGCCTCGTCAAAGTTTGCTCAATGCAGCGTCCAGAGTGGGAGAAGCCAGCACTCAAGTGTTGGCTACTATTGGCGAAGATACGGTTGAGAATAAGGAGCTGCAGGACATGCTCTTGTCTTTGGCTAAAGCCGTGGCTAACACAACGGCTGCTTTGGTTCTGAGAGCCAAGAACATTGCTTCGACCTGTGAGGATCAACAGACACAAAATCGTGTTATCGGTGCCGCTACGCAGTGTGCCTTGGCTACTTCTCAACTCGTAGCCTGTGCAAAAGTTGTGGCGCCCACTTTACATTCGCCAGCATGTCAAGAGCAGTTGACGACTGCTGTGAGGGAAGTAACGAAAGCAGTTGAAAATTTGGTGGCAGTATGCAATGATGCCTGCCCTAACGATGATCTGAACAGCCAGCTAAAGGCCGCCGCAGCAGAAGTGTCTAGGACTCTAAACGATCTCCTGAATCACATCAAACTTGGTAGTAAATTTCGTTAAATTAATTAGTTTTTCTTTTAATATTGGGTAATTTTTTCAGTTTCTCGAGAACGTGCACAGGAATCTGTTCAGGAATACAGCGTTGAGGAAATATACACTGCGACCGATAAGCTGTCTGCGGCCTCGGGAGACGCTAATGAAATGGTCCGTCAAGCCAGGAGGTTAGGTCAAGCTACAGCCCAACTGATACAAAGCATTAAAGGCGAAGCTGAAAAAATTCCAGACTCTGACATTCAGCGCCGTCTCTTGGCTGCTGCTAAAACTTTAGCTGATGCCACCGCGAAAATGGTAGAGGCCGCCAGACAATGCGCCAGTAATCCTCACGACGTTAACTATCAGGATCAACTTAGAAGGACCGCAGAGGATCTTAGAGACGTAACGGTGGTAGCGGCGACGACTCCTGCCCTTAGAGCTAAATTGGTAGACAGAGTTCAAGTATGTGCCAAAAAAGCCGTGTCTTCGGCTACGCAATGCATCACAGCAGCTCATGCCAGTCACCCGCATAATACAAACCAAGCAACCCGTGAAGCTTTATCACAAGATACTCATGATCTTGCGGAAACGATTCCACCTCTCGTCGATTCTATTAAAGCCAACGGCCAGCATCCTGAAGATACAAATACTCAAGCTGAACTTATGTACATTGCTGAGGTATTCCTACACCCAGCAACTCAATTTGTTCAATCGTCAAGATCGGTTCTGCCCACCTTGGACGATCACTCTATTACCGAACAATTGTCCACAACTAGCCACAAACTCAACACGGATCTAACTGAATTGCGCAATGCCTTAAGTCGCGCCAAGCCAGCTTGTCAAGGATTAGGCATAGACGCGGCCCAACAGCTTATCGCGGAACTCCAAGACGAGCTTGACGAATTCGAACGGGCTGTTAACGCCCACAATCTCAGGCCGTTACCGGGTGACACACCCGAACGTGGCGCGCAACAACTAGCGTCCAGCAGCAAGCTCGTAAACCAGGGAGTGGCACAACTGCTAAGTGCTGCCGCTCAAGGAAACGAGATGTACACCTCCCAAGCTGCGAGAGATACCGCTCAAAGTTTGAGAAACTTAACCGGTGCCGTAAGGACTGTCGCCGCCACCACAGACAATGTCGATGTTCAAAGGAGAATAATACATTCTGGACGAGGTGTCTTGGATCACTCTTCAAAACTGCTAGACGAGGCTCGACAGAGCTTGCAAACTGTTGGGGTTACCCCGGGACTACACTCGGCTGCCAAGGACATCTCTTCGTCACTTAACGTCACAATGGGATGCCTACCTGGTCAAAAAGACGTCGATTCTGCTATTACGAACATCATTGAGTGGACGTCTACTATCCAGTCTGGTAACTTCCCTCACACTAACAAAAGCTACGGGGAACTGCAACAAGAGCTCAATACAGCGGCTGCAAACTTAAACGAGGCCAGCTCTAGCGTTGTGCAGTCTGTTCGAAGTCCCGTACAACTTGCCTCAACATCGAAAGATTTTGCTTCGGCCTTCCAAGAATTGCTCACGGTTTCTATGGAAATGGCGGGACAAACTCAGGATACGACTGTTCGTGGAGAGATGGTACACTCCCTCAAAGGTGTCTCCACTACCTCTAGCGCCCTGTTAACCACCGCAAAGTCTCTCTCTGCCGATCCCCACCTTCCGAACGGCAAGAATCAGTTAGCGGCAGCCGCCCGAGCTGTCACAGACAGCATAAATCATCTCGTAAACGTTTGCACTTCAGCTGCACCCGGACAAAATGAATGTGACAATGCTATTAGAAAGATTAAAGCGATGCAATACCTGTTGGAAAATCCAACCGAGCCTATCAATGAATCTTCCTATTACGAAGCACTTGACTCGGTTATAGAAAAGAGTAAGGTCCTCGGCGAAGGTTTATCGGGTATTACCAGCAGTGCCAAGATATCGGAACATGAGAAGTTCACCGAGCACGTGAAGAGCTTCAGTGATGCAATTTGTTCTTTGATCGAGGCGTCTGCCCAAACTGCATACTTGGTAAGTCAAAAGATGATATATGTATTTTTTTAATCTCTTAAAATTTCGTACTTATTGATCATTGAACAAAACAAAATTGTTTGTTTTAAGCTACTTTTGACCTTTACATGTTTGGTTTCTCAAATTCCGTAATGAAAACTGAATTTTTTTAATATTTTTTTCTTAATTGTCATAGCACACCGCTCGACGAACAATGAAGACACACAAACACCCTGTCATTACTAAACACTTAAATATATAACTTTATAAGGTTATATGCGTACACTACACAAAACACTTCACAAAATACTTTTTACTATAAAATTAAAGTTAATAATGCATAGTCTCTATACAAAATTCTATTTCAATTTCAGTAAAAACTGATACTTTACAGAGAAAGTCGCAAAATTGCCATATTCAATACTTTCTCCTAGACCGATAAACTAAAAAAAATGTAATAAAATGAAGCACAGACATGCTTGTTTCACAAAATAAAAATTGACCATTGGTATTTTGCTTGCCTAGCACCCAGCTGTCATATCACATCAGGTGTATAAACATTAAAATTCACTTCACACCAATTTAATATTTAATAAATCATACAAAAAATATTAATTCTTCACAAATACTTGAAAAATTTTTTTCATCTGCATTATCATTAAAATAACATATAACTTTAAAACGTAACACGTCGCAATATAGTCCGGGCGAATTAGTTTTTTTTTCAAAAACCGGGCCTATCTCGAATTTTATGGGCTTAAAATTAAGTAAAAAATACACAGAATAAAAGCCTAAATTTGTGTATTTGTAGAAGTCGAGCGTCATATTGTTTATAACAAAAGAAAAAAATAATTGCTCTTTTTTCAGTTTTTTGCTTATATCTCCGAAAATAAGTCTAATCATATACTTATCAATTTTGTTCCTGAGAAATGAGAAAAGCTTGCAAAAATTTTTTTACATTGCAAAATTGCCAAGTTAGCTTTTTTTTTGTTTTTTTTGTAATAACTTTTTTATTTTGCAACTTAAAAATCTGAAATTTGCAGCCAATTTCAATCAAATTCGTTCTTTTTATTTAATGCTGAAAATTTTGCACATTTATTTTTACCGCTAATTTTGCAATGTAAAAAAAGCCTATCCTTGTAGCAAATTTCTGCATGAACAAAATCGATAAGTATACCTCATGTCGATTAGAGACTTATTTTCGGAGATATAAGCCAAAAACTGAAAAAAGAGCAATTATTTTTTTTTTCTTTTGTTATAAACAATATGAGGTTTGACCTCTACAAATACATAAATTTAGGCTTTTATTCTGTGTATTTTTCACTTAATTTTAAGCCCATAAAATTCGAGGTGGGCCCGGTTTTTGAAAAAAAACCTAATTCGCCTGGACTATATTGCGACATGTTACTTTAAAGTCATTATGTTATTTTGATGATAACGCAGATGAAGCGTTGAACATTGAAAAAAGTTTCATACGGTTAGTTTAAAAAGGTAATAATGGGAAACACTGACAAGTGCACACATACATACAGTAGTACATATAAACGGAGTTTAAATAAACTTGACTCTTTTGATTTAAAGAAACACTGAGGAAAACATGCTATAATTCCAAAAAACTGGCCACGACTTAAAATTACATCATCAATAATTATAGTTAGTTTATAATAGGGCACTATTGCTACTTTTTGCAACGTTTTTATATATACAGGTTGGTGTCTCGGATCCCTCGAGTATTGCCGGTCGCCCAGGCTTGGTCGATCAGGCGCAATTCGCCAGAGCTTCGCAGGCCATACAACAAGGATGCGCTGCACTCTCCTCCCCCGCAAGCCCACAGAAACAGGTCCTCGAAGCTGCTACTTTGATAGCTAAACACACGAGTGCTTTGTGCAACTCTTGTAGAATCGCCAGTTCAAAAACGACCAACCCGGTGGCTAAGAGACAGTTCGTACAAAGTGCCAAGGCCGTTGCAAACTCGACTGCCGCCTTAGTGAAAGAAATTAAGGCGCTTGACGCTGATTATTCGGACGAGAACAGAAGGAGATGTGCAGAAGCCACGAGGCCTTTGCTAGGTAAGATTTCAGTACGGTTTCAAGAAAATAGGATATATTTTTTCAACTGGTTCTAACAGAGAAGAATAGAACTTAGAAGTTGAAATTTAAAGGTTAGACATCAAAGAAATTAAGGAAATCCATAAAAAAGTTGAAATTATTTGAACTTTTTTTAGGATTTGTGTGGGCCATCTTTTTTTCTCATAAAAAGTGAATTTTGTTCTAACACCAGCCTTAAGTTGGATTTTTCATGATTGAAACTGGAAATAATTTTTTCCTGTTCCTTGCTTGCAACTCAGGAATTTTAACTTGTGCCTCTATCTTTACAACTTTCCTTGCAGATGCTGTTGATAACCTGTGCGTATATGCCAGTTCAAGTGAATTTGCCACGATACCGGCCAAGATACCTCCTCAGGCTAGACAAGCTCAACTGCCTATAGTGGACGCAGGTCACAGACTCATCGACAGCTCCTGCAACGTAATTGGCACGACCAAGAATCTTATTATAATGCCTAAGGACCCGTCTACTTGGCAACAGTTCGCGAGCAGCTCGAAAAATGTTTCTGATTCCATCAAACAACTGGTAGTCAACATTCGGTATGTAGAAAACGTTAAAAAAAAAGCTTTTCAGTTACGATTTATGAATTTTTTGTTTCAGCAATGAGGCTCCGGGCAGAAACGAATGCGAAAGTGCTGCTCAAATCCTGACCAATCACCTGAGAACCTTAGACGGTGCCTATATGGACGCCGTGTCACAATCCCTGCAACCGAAACGTACGGCGACTTTGCCGGTGTACAGCCAGCAAGTTGAAAGATCTGCCGCGGGTCTTTTGGATACCATCGAACCTCTTAGACACGCCGCCAAATTTGAAGCTGAAAATATCGGGCACGCCATCAATCAGATGGTACAATACTTCGAACCTTTAGTGCAGAGTACAATAGGAGCCGCTTCCAACATGATGAATTCTAAACAGCAAGAACAGTTGCTAGATCAAGCCAAGTCGGTTACCGAGTCGGCGTTGCAATTTATTTACGCTACAAAGGACTCTGGAGGAAATCCAAAGGTATTTTGAAAATGTTTGTTTTTAATGACCACATCCAATTTTTGTTTTTAGGCCGTCAATATTCACCCGGACATAGAGGAGTGTGCCAACTCCACTAGAGACACACTGAAAGATTTGGTGAACAGCCTCGAAACTATCTCGACTCAAAGCGGAATCGTGTCCGGAGTCGTAGACAACTTAACCCGGGCCATGACTAGATTGTCCGACAATCGTGCCTCCCTCATTATATCGGACAGCGATGGTTACGTCGATTACCAAACACGCATGGTAGAATGTTCCAAGGACATTGCCAAGATAGCCGGCGAAATGGCCACCAAGGCCGCCACAGACACCCAGAAACTCGCACCTCTATCCGCAGACTTGTCGCACAAATATGCCCAGTTGTCCAGCGACAGCATCGGCGCTGCGGCATCCGCCACTAATGGAGAAGTGGGTATCAGACTAAAAGAAGTGGTACAACAGCTGGGTGGTGCTTGCGTTGATTTAGTACAATCAGGCGGACAGTGCTTGGTCCAGAAAGATGATATTATATTACGGGAAGTTGGCGACTGCTCTCGTAACGTCACGGAGAAAGTGTCTAGGGTTCTGGCCACTTTACAGTCTGGTTCAAGAGGCACCCAGGCTTGTATCAACGCCGCATCGACCGTCTCAGGTATTATCGGTGACCTGGAGACCACTATTATGTTCGCTACCGCCGGCAATCTTAATCCCGAAAACGAACAGGAATCCTTCGCTGATCATAGAGAAAACATATTGAAAACTGCCAAGGCTTTGGTGGAGGACACAAAGACTTTGGTCGCGGGAGCCGCTTCGTCGCAGGAACAACTGGCTGTCGCCGCTCAGAATTCTGTCGCGACAATTGGTGAGACCATGATCTTAAATTAATTACATTTAATAAAGTCCGTAAATTTTATTTGTTTCAGTTCAATTGGCAGAGGTTGTTAAACTGGGAGCAGCCAGTTTGGGTTCTGACAATCCCGAGTCGCAAGTTATGCTGATAAATGCTGTGAGAGATGTCGCTAGTGCCTTGGGCGACCTCATTCACGCCACAAAAGCCGCTAGTGGTAAACCGATCAACGACCCCGCCATGACCCATCTGAAGGACAGCGCCAAGGTACGGTTTTATGCCCAGTTAAGTTAGTGCTTCTTTTTTTCTGTGTTTACCTACTAAATTATTTTTTGTTTTATTGTTTCACTTGCTGATATTTCTGTTTTTAATAAACGTTTGATTTTATTTGTGATATAAATTTAATTCGCTTTGCTCATCTGCAATGAAAGGTGTGGTATCTTTATTCAATTTATCCTTTTAATCGATTTTAAAAAAATTCACAGACCTTTCGATGCGAATTTTTATATTTGAAGAAATATAACTAATTTACTAATTTGTTATTGAATTTTTTTTGTGGAAGATTTGTTATCGATTTATCTAAACATTTTAGCCCAATTCTAACCAGTATTTTTCATGCGTGTGAAACTAATACTAAAAATTTGCAGCCCATTTTTCAGCACTAATTAACATCAACGGGTTGCACCAGGTTTTGAATGTAGATACCACAAGTAACACTTAATCCTTCAGTGTGCTTTATTATTATCGACCACACTTTATACGCGACATATCGCTAATAACTTACGAGTATTTAGTTTCTAAAATTAAAAAACGTATTGGTATTTCCAAAAAGTGTTATAAATTTCTCGTGGTAAGTATCAAGTTAATTTATCTTTTGGTGGTCAGTGTGAGTGGTGACGTTTTCTATAATGTCAGTCTCAAACAAAAAAAAAAAGCAAATTTCAATTAGTATTTCTTTTTAATAGAGAACGGTTTTACTGTAGAAACGCATCACTCCATATTTGGGTATAGGAACATGGAATATTTGGTCCCTATACAGGGTGATTCTTAAGTCGAATATTTTTTTGTAGCGTGAAAAACTCGTTATAATAATTTTTTTTAATACCGTTTCTGGGCAACAGCCTGATTCACAAAAACATTCACGTTGTGAATGCAAAGGCGTCTGATGAAGTTCTCGGGGGTTGTTGGCAGCCCATTAGCGCATATTTTGCTTACTGACATATCCAGTCAAAGTAAAATGTACCTCATCAGTGAAAAACACGAGCGCGTCTTCAAGAAGTCGCGTTCGGAAAGTTCCCTCACAATGGCCAACTTGTACGGGTGGAAATGAAGTTCATCGTGCATAATTCTCCTCAAGGAACGATCGGAAATTCTAAGAGCAGACGCATGTTTGCATGACGAACGCTGCGGAGTTCGCAAAACTGCAACCCTTAGTGCTTCAATGTTCTGATGGGACGTGCGTCTTTAGTTCTTCTTTTCTGCACAGAACCAGTTTCCCTGAACGTTGTGACACACAAAAGAACTGATTTCCAGTCCGTGACACGACCCATTGGTGCAATATTGAAGCGATTTCGGAAGACGCACTGGGTTAAAGCCACCGAACGGCCATTGGAAAAATAGGCCTTTAAGGCAAACGCACTCCAACACATGATGACGACTCAGATATAAGTTAACAAAACTTTAGGATCCCCCCTCTCGAACTAGACCACACACAGCCACCTGGGACTCCCACCAGCTTCAGAGTGCTCATTTCAAATAAGGAATTTATCTTGCCGCACCTTGTACAAGACATGTAAGATGGATAATTTTGCAAAAATCCCAGTTGACAATAGCTACACACACATTTACTAAAAAACTTTCTCGAAAATTTGTCTGCCTATAAGCATAAGTACCAAATGTCCCATTCCATGTGATTGTAAGACTTGAACTCGTTGCACACGAAATTTTCCTGAAATATGCAAACTTTTTTGGCACAATTCAACTTGGCATAGCATTTCTCAAGTACTTATTGAGTCAAGAATTTCTTGGCCAGGCTTCCTATTCTGGTCCGGGTTCGATCCCTGGTGTCGTCACTGGCAATGTCGTTGGATAATGGGTGTTTGTCCGCATTTTTTCAAGTGTAGCCCCCTTCCGCACAGCCTTTGGCTTTGAATTTGGGGGTTGTCTCATTTCTGTGGTGTGTTTTATGTTTTTTTTATTGCATGATTTCCAATTCTCTGAGTCTTCTAGCATACCCTCCCACAACCCGAACAAATGATTGAAGTGAAGGATAAACCATAAAGGAAAACTTGGCTACGAAGAACATTGACTTTCTGACAATGCTCTTCGTCAATTAATTACATGTCACCTAATTATTGTTATAGCCAGTCGTCTTTCTTGCTTAAATTTCTTGCAAGACCCGGATTGAATTTTTTGATGAAGAATCGTGTTTTACATGTTAAAAAAAACTTAGGAATCGCCTTGTATTTGATTCATCCTTTTATTGAAAAAGCTGAAATTAATAATTTCTTTGCATGTGTGTTATACTAACATTCATAGTTGTAAATATAGTATTGGGGTGGACTTCAAATAATATAATTAATATTTACAAAACTTATAGTGATGAAAGAATTCAGATGAAAATATTTGGGATATAAACGTGGAAAAGAATTAATAATTAAACTCTTGCAAATTAAGGTGTTTGTATTGTAAACAATGTTTTTTAACATTGAGAATTAATATAAAATGGTTAAATATTCTTATTCATTATTTTACTAGCACTGATATTTGTATAATTTTTTTATTTTATGGTTTTATTTTATATATGGAGAAAATATGGTCATTTCTTGCTCAACTCTCGGTAACGTAATGTCATTTCAAACTAATCGATTACTGAAATCATCCGAATATCTACATCACTTTCTTCTTACATATTAATATAACGCACATGCTAACTATTAATAATTGCATTTAACTCATTAATATCAAAACATGTGAAATTATTTCAAGTCCACCAACTTTATATAGAATTATAAATATTTTTTCTGGACCTTTAACCGTTGCCTTTGTCGCTTCCTCATTCGCTTACTAGCTGGCTTTTTGTCGAGGTCCATGTTATATCACTGTATTTCAAATGTAGATATGTTCGAAGTGGTGGATTTTAACACATGTTTTGATTCACAACAGGTGACCGATTCTGAAACTGATTGGTGGATTTCCGATCAAGAGGAGGAATTATTGCGCTTACTAAGCGACAGCAAAGAGAATATTAACGCAGAGTCTTTACAATCTGATATCGTTCAGTGTCTAGTACCCGCTTCTTAAAACTGCAACAAACTGTTTGCTTTTGAATATTTTTGCTTTGAAAATACTATCCAAAGGCTACTCAAACTATTCTAGTCGCTTGTGTGTTTTTTAATCATACTACTGGCCATCGCCGCATTTCTCCTCTCTATATGGTTGTATTCTTTCAACATATTTTAGTACCGTCAGTAAATATAGTTATTTTACCGTTAAATGAAACACTGCCTGTCTGACTATTAAGACTCAAGTATTTTAATTTTATCATTTTTTAAATTATGTTTGCATTTATATCATACCTATCGCCTTAATTTTATTATTTTTTGTTAATCATTTAGACTACTTTTTATTAAAGATACTCCTTTCACTGAACGGAATGTTTCTGATAGCTTATTTTTATTATTTTCAAAGGATACACCTATATAACCCCTTTATCGATGGCCAAGATAATGTTTTCGACTTGAAAAAAATTATTTTTATGATATTAATGACACCTTTTTCATTGTTTATTGTGTGTGTTTATTGTTGTAAACATGCAATACATAAATACTTATTTTCTTATATATTTATGAATAAAATGTGTGGTATAGAAAGTAGTTTTATTGAAACTCTAAAAATATTTTTAATAGTTGGTATGTATTTTTGTTTTGTGTATATTTACTGGTTTAGAATTGGCGCCTATTCTTCTTCCGTTTTCCGTTCGATACTGACTAACAATTTCAGAACCTTTCAGCTTACATGGATTTTTTCTAAAAGCATGATTGTATATATCACCAGTCTATTTCTTACACACTTTATCACCACTGCGAATCGTATTTATTTCAGGTAATGGTCACAAATGTAACGTCGTTGTTGAAAACAGTTAAAGCTGTGGAAGATGAACACACTCGAGGAACGAGAGCATTAGAATCCACAGTCGAAGCTATCGCGCAGGAAATGAGAGTAAGCACGGTCACTGATGGAATATACGTAAATAATCGTAAACAAATTGCAGGCACTTTACTCTGCTGAAGGTTACAAACAAGGTGTTACCGCCGAAGACCTCATTCGCTGCACTAAAGCCATCACTAATGCCACAGCCAAATCGGTAGCAGCAGGAATAAGCAATAAACAGGACGATATTATAGCTGCCGCCAATTTGGCAAGAAAATCGATTTCAGACATGTTGATCATCTGTAAAAGTGCAGCGTTTACTCTTGCGGAAACGGATGAGTTGAGGGATGATACTCTGAACGCGGGTCATGACTGCTCTAAGCAATTTAGGGAACTCTTGTTGCTTATTTTGCAGGGCAGTGCATCGCCCGATGTGAAACATACTTTGCCGCTAGTGTCTAGAAAGATCGCACAGTCTGTTACAGAGATAGTTAGCATTGCTAAAAGGCTTAAAGGTGAAGAAAAATGTTTTGAAAACTTGTAAAATATTTTTAAAAATATGTATTTTTTTAGGTTCTGATTGGGTGGATCCAGACGATCCAACGGTTATTGCAGAAAATGAGTTGTTAGGAGCAGCCGCCTCGATCGATGCTGCCGCCAAGAAACTTGCCAGTTTACGTCCAAGACAGAATATTAAGGTAGGCTTTACTATTTCCTTAGTTTTACTGAACATATATAACTAAATTCTTTACAGGATTATAAAAAAAAAAAATTATATTTGTTTTTATTTATTTTTCTAAAGAGGAAAAGCTTGTGTATTGCTGTAAGATATGTTTGATATTCTTGGTTGTCGTTTTGTAGCACCCAGGAGTCAAACATATTATTATAGCGGTACACGCTCCATCGCACCCTCTTCTATCAAATCAGGATAAGTTTCTTCAATTTACCTTTAAATTTTTCTAAAACCGTCACGAAATGAAGTCATATGCGGTCCATGAAATCAAATATATAGGATACTAATCTAAAGAAATATATATGTTCTGTTAGCTAAATAAGCTACCGATACTTTTTCTTTTCCCATCATTTTCATACTTTTTGCAGGATTTAATTTTCTGGATGCACTTTTCAAGCTAAAAAGTGATTTTAAACAGACATTTTCTAAAACGGCAGCACAAAAAGACATACCGGACAATAAAATAATTAAATAATGATCTAACATACCACTTTTGATAAAATTATTTCTGCATTTTTTAAACATAATTTGTTTGAGAATATCGGCATACATAGTCCAACCAAATTACATTTGGAGAAAATAAAAATTGTTATCTGGACTTTTATAAGTGGAAATGGTAAAAGGCAATTTTTCCTGAGTACGGCTCTGAACGCTTTCAAAATACCTGTATCTATTGGAGGAGAGAGAGAGAGAGAGAGAATAAAAATCAATACAGCACAAAATATCCAACAATTTTTTTAATCCATAATTTAAAAAGTTGTACTAATAAAAAATAATACGAATTTATGAAATATTTTATTATTTCTAATTAGTATTGCTAACAGTAGTAAAAAATTGTTGGATATTTTGTGCGGCATTGACATTTATACTGTTATGACTTCATCCAATAGATATTTTGAAAGCGTTCAGACTCAGGAAAAATTTTATATTATAGTTAAAACAAGCTAAAAACTACCCGAAATTTTAAAATTTTCTAAACAGCATATTGTTAGGCATAAAAAAAGACGACTATGAATTCATCAAACTTTTAAAAAAATAAGTACACTAATCGATCCTACGGAAAAAAAATTATTATTTATTTTATTTATTTACTATTCGACTTATGTTTATAGCAATACTGTATAGAAATAATTTTGGGTCAAACAATGAGATAGTTTTTTTTGTATTTTTTCCGTACAATTGAATGGTGTAATCAGTTTTTGATTTTTTTAAAATTTAAACAAATCATCAACAATTACTGAAAAATTCATTTCTGCAAGTCATTTTTTACTTTTTTTTCATTTTTGAGCATGTTTCAGAGCTGTGATTACAAATTTTTTTATTTCAAGAAAAAGTATATGTCAAAATGAAAAAAAATGTTTACTGGCAGAATTCTGTACGATGATTTTTTTAAGTAGAATTTTTCTTCGAAAAAAAAGTGTTTCAGGCCGAAAAAAATGAATATCAGAAACTTCTTGATTTTTTTATCTAAAAAAATTTGAGGTTATTTAAGATAGAGAAAGGTACACTTTCACCAAGTTTTGTAAAAATTAAATTATTTTTGCGGAAATGAGAAATAAAAAACGAAAAATCAGAAAAAATTTGTTTTTCGCATGTTTCTCGGAAATTTTGAGGTTATGTTAAAAAGTGACCTCTACAAAAGTTGTAGATTTTTACATGATCTACAACTTTTGTATTGGATGCTTTTTTGTTTGACGTCAACTTTCGCCAGAAATCCCAATGATACAATTTTTCATAATTTTTCAACCCCCCAAATCAACCCTCCGCCGCCCCTGCTCACGCATTTATTTTTTTTTCATTTATCATAAGCCCCTTTATCATTTCCACGTATAAAAGTCCAGGTAACAATTTTCTTTTTTTTTCCTTTAAATGAGTTATTTTGATCAGTCTATACAGGGCATAAATCAGGAAGTTGTGTTACTATGACAAAACGAATAATTCAATTTTTTAATCGTGTTATTGATATCTAACAGTTATTAAAAATATATTTAAAAAATGAATGCTGATTAATTTATGGACTTGTAAAATGAAATATTTTCACAAAAGTACATATAAGCTTCCTTTAAGTGTTACATCATAAAAATAGATGAAATTCATAACATCGTAAAACACAAAAATGTTTACCGGCTTTGTAAATATATGAATAATGTTCCATCAAAGCTATCGCCTTGAGTTGACAACAAATTTATGTCCCTAATTTTACCAATCCGAAGGTGATTCTCAAACTACATTGCAATGAAATTCCAGACTCAAGACTTGGACGAATCGATGAACTTTGATGAAATGATTCTGGAAGCTGCCAAATCCATCACTGCCGCCACTTCTGCGCTAATAAAAGCGGCCAGTGCAGCTCAACGAGAGTTAATCGATAGCGGGAAAATGTCAAGAACACCTATTTCATCGTCAGACGATGGTCAGTGGTCCGAGGGGCTTATTTCCGCAGCACGATTAGTGGCTGCCGCGACTCATAGTTTGGTTGAAAGTGCCAACGCTCTCGTCCAAGGTAAGTGTTTTTTCTTACAAGACTAATAGGACAAGTCTGTGTATCAAAATTAAGACGATTATTAATTAATTACAAAAAAATTTACATGGTGTTAAAAATCTGATGGAGTAGTTCAAACGTCTCGGTTTTAGTTTACACATTGCAGAACTCCATTAGATTTGTAACAACCTCTTAAAATTATTTTAATTATTTGTAATATGTGTTTAAGTTTAAAATTTATTAGTGAGATACAGAATTGCCCCTTATTGCCGATTATCACAAATAACGAGCGTTCAAATAAAAACGTGGTCGAAGTTGGCTCTGACACATTGGACGTAGGGAGTAGCTTATAGCGACCAACTTAACCTCATTTCTCAACGAGCTGTATAGCAGCTGTCGGTTTCAATAACGTTAATGACTATATAACTTTATTTTAAAGAATAATCGTGATAACAATAACAAACAATTAAAGGAGAACAAACGCAAATCTTTTTTTAACACTGTGGCAGGTACCGACTGATACTCCCACCATTTGTGATAAAATACGTACAGAAGTTCTTGACGCATTTTCCATTATTTGTGAACATTTTCTTTTAATTCTTCAGTCCGCTTTTTAGGTCGGCCGCTTCCTTCTTTTCTTGTTACACTGACCGTTTCACGAAGAACATTAACACAACGCTGAACTGCACTTTGAAAAATTTTGTACTCAACAACGCTGGGAAATTGATTTTGAAATTCTATGAAACATTCCTCAATAGAATACTTCCATATTCCATCAATCTTGCGTCCATTTCTAAAGTAGGACTCTATGATAAACACTTTTTGTTCTTGAGAAAACACAATTTTAAACGCTTTTTAAAACGAAAATATTCAAATTGATAGCGGCGATATAGCGCTTTGACAGATGACGTTTAAGTTCATTTGCTATACGCTACGCCCTACGTCCAAATTTTCAGAACCAACTTGACCACGTTTTTATTTGAACGCTCGTTATAAACTAGCTTTTCACAATACAGGTCTCGGTAGTGAGGATAAACTAATAGCGGCTGCAAAACAAGTAGCAAGTTCTACCGCCCAGCTGTTAGTAGCCTGTAAAGTAAAAGCGGAGGGAGATACCGAAGCTACGAGACGGTTACATGCCGCCGGAAACGCTGTCATCCGTTCTACCGACAATCTCGTGAGAGCGGCCCAGAGAGCCAAGAGCGTCGAAGAGGAGAGATATCTTGTCCTTAACAAGAAGATGGTTGGCGGCATTGCGCAGGAGATCAACGCAAGGTAAAAATTGTTAAAAGAAATGTTCTATAATAATAGAAGAATAGAATTGTAATAACAAAACGTATTTGAGAAACCAAAAAAAAAAAAATTATGTATGTTTTTAGATCGGAGGTGTGCAGGATCGAAAGGGAACTGGAGGAGGCTCGCAACAAACTAAGTGCCATAAGACAAGCCAAGTACAAACTGAAAGGTTACGATACCTCTGGCGACGACACGGACGGTTACATAAGCTCTGCTCAAGAAGCAGAAACTATGGGGTGAGTCGCAGGTGTGTGTTACTGTCTGTATCCTAACTGTCGGCTTTTGTATTAATCGGTGATGGTGTCTAATTTTGTTAACAAGGTCAGGGAGGTTAATCGGTAATTAATAATATTCCATAAAATTCAATTACTCATAACGTAAAAGAAAAATTTTTTTTTTTGCCAAAATTTACTTATTTTAAATATTAAATTTTTTTGATTGTGTGATGCTAATACGATCTCAACAAAGGTTACAAGGGGTGGATATGTTGATATTCGGCAACTCCCAATGAGTTCGTCTCGTAATTTCAAACGAAGCAACTGATTTTAACGAAAGGAAATTCAAATTGTTTGTTTAAGAGTGCTTTTTAGGATTTAGGGGATCTACTCAAATTCGGTTTGCATTTGTTATAATTAAAAGCATTTTTTTTTAAACTGAGTCTAAATATCTTGGCCGCTTTAATGGCTTAAGTTGAGCTTTTGCATATTACAAAGGTCATTTAAAAAATTCTGCACATAGTAAAATTATGGTTTTCAATGTAATCTAATCTTCATTCTTCTCCATGACAGCAGCCAATGGTTCGACAAGTCTTGTATTCCCGTTACGGCACTATATTTGTTGATCTGTCTGATTACTTGGGTCACTGCATCAAAAGCCTTCACAATGGTTTGAAACGGATCTCCAATCCATAATTCTCCAAAACTCATGTTTAAAAATAGATCTTCATCTGATCTTTTCAGTGACTTTTTTGTAGTTTCTTCGTTATGATTCTGAACACCGAAAAGGCAGACATTTTTGCTCCATTTGCAGTTTCTTCCCATGTTTTACGTCGATCTTCTTGCAAAATGTTGTCAATAGTGGCAGTGGAAGTATAGTCTCTTGTAGTTACCAGCCGGCCACTCCATAGATTGTCTTCAATACTTATCCGGCCTTCGCCCACTGTGACACTGTGCTTCCATCCAATACACTATCCCCACCAACTTCAACTAGAGCGTTGTGAATTTCAATAGATGTTTTACCTGCAAACTTTCAATTTTGATGTAAGACCTCTGGTCGCTATGTGAGATTTGACCTAAGCCATTTTCTCCCTCCATTTCAACTCAGAATTCCTCACTCAAAACACTGAAAACACATGGTGATGGCTAAAAGTCTGGCTTAAGCTTACGCTTCACGTGCGGGAATCATTCCACATGTGCTCTGTTCAGAAGTTTTGAAATGGCCTTCGTAGTTAAATCTGCTCAAATCGAATCTAACGAGGCCTCATTCACTTTTTGTGATTTGTGATACCCAGATATAAGCCACCAAAGTCAGTCAAAGCACGAATATCTGAGGTAATTTTTGTAGTATTTTCATATTCATGGTGTTAAAGTTACAAATAAATTTTTTTGTATTGCAATATAGCTGCCCATTTATGGCTTTCAGTCAGTTGATTTATCTTGATCGGTTCATCCGTACGAAAATTATGAGCAGAGAGATTGTTTCATATTTTCATTATGTTTTAAAGATGCATCTATGTCAGAATAAATACCGTTTTATTTTCTCTGCACGGCGATTAATAACATTGATAATTAGTTTAAAGCATTGCCCATTCTAATAAATGACCTACTGACTTTGTACCTAGCATTTATAGAACCCTCTGTAGTTGTTGTCTAATGTTGTTTCCTTTCCATGTATTAACACTAATGAATTTGTTTGTTGCATGCAGAGTGAAGGTTGTAATCCATAAAATGAACAATAACAGTAATTAATAGGTAAGTGTACCGCTCTAATTCCAATAATTTGGGACATATATGTATCAACTCCTCAAAACAAACTGTACCGGTAACTTTCAGGATGTTGATATAAAACCTGTTTTACATCTACCGATTTTTAACCCAAAAAATCAATCAATTTTGCTGATATATTCCAAATTCCGAACTACTATTTTTTAAAAAAATTTTATGTAATTTTGTCAAATCTCATCAAACTGACCCCTCCTGTAAATTTTTTATTTAATTGGCTATTTCTGCCACATTGAAAACATTTTTAATGAGTGCACCGAAAGTGTCAGTCAAAGGGTTGATTTTATAAATTTAATTTTTTATGCTAATAAAGTAAATAATTCTTCATGACACAATAATTATTAAATCACATTATACAGTTTACGTTTTGAAAAACTCCGTTTAGTCCAATTAAATAAGCCTTTAAATCAAAGTTTTGGTCAACTTGCTTGAATTTTTTACATGAGTTAGTGTGAGGTATTATAACAATAAGTGACAGTAATTTTTTGTTCAACCCCCGGCCAAGGGTGAAAAAAGATAAAACAAAGGAGTTTTTCAAGATAACTCAAAAGGGTCAAGGGCTAGAAAGAAAAGTTTCTTATAAAAGTTGTAAAGCATACAATTCTATATAAAAATGGCATCTTGACTTTTTCTTGTACTATTAAAATTAACAAAGTTAGGGTGGTTAGAAGTTAAGGGAAGATTTCAGAAATTTAAAAAAATCGTAACAAGCAGAAAAACGAATGAATTTTGTATTTTTTTTCAATCTACTCTAAAAAATGTAAAGAGACGCGTATTTTTTTATCGACGGAAAAACATATTTACGAGGTGAAATACACTCTCAAAGTTCGCCCCCCAAAACAGTTTTTTCAAAATTTCTGGGGTTCTAATCAATATTTTGAAATGAAACAAAATGGAAATTACTTATGATAAAAAACAAATATTTCACTAGTGATTCCGTATTTGGGGGTTGCTACCCTTATTTTTTATTTCAGAAAAACTATATTTTTTATTTATAAAAAAATCACATTTACTCAAAAAGAATTAAAAATATGATTTATGTAAACAAATTGACAAAATTAAATTGACCTGTTTCGAGGTTTTTCTTAAAATCTCTGTTTAGGGGGGTGAACAACAAATTTGAAATTGTTATAACTTTCTTATTAAAAATTAATGAAAATATCTATTTCTCTGAATAGAAAGGTTACATTTTTTAGAGTAGATCAAAAAAAAATTACTAAATTAATTCATTTTTCTGCTTATGATTTTTTTAAATTTCTGAAATCTTCCCTTAACTTCTAGCCTCCCTAACTCTGTTAATTTTAATAATCAAGAAAAAGTCAAGAGGTCATTTTTATGTAGAATTGTATGCTTTACAACTTTTTCACAAAACTTTTTTTCTAGCCCTTACCCGTTTTGAGTTATCTTGAAAAACCCTTGTTTTATCTTTTTTCACCCTTGGCGGGGGATTGAACAAAAAATTGCTGTCACTTATAACATACCTCAAACTAACTCATATCAAAAATTCAGGCAAGTTGACCAAAATTTCGATTTAAAGGCTTATTTAATTAGACTAGTCCTTATCAAAACTTTCATCCTCAAATTGACTTAAAAATCAAATGTGACAATTTCTTTGTTTACTTTATATGTCTTCCACGGAGATATATACAAAATATAATATTTATTCTTTTATTACTTCATCGTTCATGTTGAGAATATTCAACCAACAAAATAAATGGGGTCTCTTTTAGTTTTTTTTAACATATTACTTTCTTTTCCCAACATTTTCGTGTTATTCCATTGCATAATATGATCGTGTCGCCATGCATGTTTACAAACTTTTTATTTTTCAAATTCTCACTTTCTAATGCCGATGTTTTCCGACTCTTAACATTTAAAGGTCTCGAAATTTTGCGAAAGTAATATTTACTACATTTGCAAGGTATACTGTAAATGCAGTCTTCAGAATTTTATATTCTATTGTGCACTCAAGTTTTTGATAAAATTATTTTTAAAGTGTATTGTTAGTTCGGAAACGATTAATCAGTGTGACGTGATATTATTATATTTTTGGTGAATGTAAAACAGGTTTATCTTTTAAAAGATTTTTAAAAATTATACTGCAAGTAATGCTACATTTACTCTGTATAAATACATACTACCGTCTACTTGCAGATATACCCACGGTTATGACAGTTCGCAAAGCCAGGGTACACCGACAAGGTATTATCAGGACAAGTACAGCCACCTGGAGAGCCCAGAAAAAGTTAACTCCTTAGAACGTAACAAGAAATCTTATCTGCAGTCCCACATTAACAACCTGGACTCTTCAGTTTACGGCACCACCAGCAATTACGGACAAAACGACTACAACTATCCAAATTACAATTCGTTCTCGCAAAACGCACCCAAATTTTCGCCCAGTTATGGAGTAACCAACCAGTACGGGGGAAGGAACGATTTCACTAGTCGGAGTTACGAACCGTCGAAATCTTACGAACCTTCCAAGCCTTACGAACCTTCTAAGCCTTACGAATCTTTTAAGTCTTACGAACCCTCAAAGCCCTACGAATCATCTAAGCCTTATGAGCCTTTAAGCACAAGCACTCCTAGTCATTACGCAAGCTTGAATAAGAATTACGGCACCAGCACTACTCCCAGAACGTTTGGCGCACCAACGCAAGATAAAAGCTTGGATTATAGTTCCACCAGTTACAATGTAGGATCGCCCTACGCTCCGCTCGACAATTTTAGTAAAACTGAGTATAAACCAACATCAGACGGTTATTCGAGTTCCGAATACGTTACCAATACCTATAAAACCCCTGCCGGTTATAAGACGGATACGTTTAAATACGAAAGTTATCAATCGGCACCGCAACACACCTATTCGTCCAGTAGCGAGAAGTACTACTCAGGCTCGCCCGCTGGTAAAATACAACCCCTCTCGCCGCTCGATATGAAGAGTTTCGACTCTTTCAAAAACGGATCAGACAATCAGTACCAGTCGTCATTTTCCAGCAACGTGGAATATATTAATCAGCCGCCCGTGCTTAAAGACGATGACACGCTAGAGCAGAAAATGTTAAAGAAGTCCGTTACTCAGCAAATATTCGAAAAGAAGACAGTTTCTATGACGAAATCGAGTAAACAGGAATCGTCTGTAAAAAGTTTTAAGTTTGAGTAAATAATGCCAAAAATCCAGTTATATGTTGAGATGAAACTAATTGAATGTAAGGCTGCCATAACTTCTGTCTGTTGTACAATGTATTTTATCTAATTATCGTTTTCGTTATCGTTTTAAGAGTTAAGTGTCCTTAGTTCGACAATGGTGCTAATATGTTTTTGCTTCTCTTAACTGTGGTTGTTTTTATTAACCAAATACTTAAATGATTTAAATTATATGTGCCAATAATAAATTTTAGGCTTTCTTATAGCTATAATTTCCTTCATTCTTTTAAGTTGTATATTCAAAGTTATATTTTTTAATATTCTTCATAGGCACTATCGTAAATATTTAAAGTGCCTAGATTGCTTATAAGCATGATATGTAGATTTTTTTTTTATTAATTTTATTCACATAACAAGACTTATAGTGCCTAATACATATAAAATTGCCTTTTTATTATACACTTTTACATGTTACAGGAATGTTTTCAAATCATATATTATTTAATTGTATCTTATATAAAATAATAAAGAAACTAATTTAGACATCAGTTGCTTTAATATTCTCCTAAGTATTCTAAGTGGTATTATAAACACAAACAAATTAAAAACATTTATATTATAAATTATAATCGAATAATTTTTCTAAAAATTCTAAAACCAGCAAGATTTTGGACCAAGAGTATAGTTCGTACTAAATATTTTTATATTCCACAACTGCATTGAATTGATTTTTTTATTTATAATATCCAAAAAGCATAGTCATGAATTTTTGCAATAATTTTTTCCATGTTTAATGAATTTCAAGTATTGACAGAAATTTTACACTGCCCCATTACCTCCGTTAAAGTTAGAGATGGGGCAGTTTTTGGAAAATTGTGTTATGGACATGTCGATGAAATGCCCTGACACCTTGAATCTAATAAGGCACCTGTGAGTGACGTCATGTTTTCACAGGTCACAGGGTACGCACAGCAAAATATTACTTTTATTCTATTCTAATGAATATGTGTCCATATATTTTACTTATTACCTACCTTTAGACTTTTTTATAAACTGGTTTCTAATTTTCCCCGGACAGCCAATACACTTATTTAAATGTTTTTCCATCCTACTAGAATTCTTAAAAATTGTTTTTGAGCTGAAGTTACATTTATAATGATTTTTACTCAATTCAGAAAAAGTTATATTTTTTAAATGTCAGTTTCAATTAAACAATTACCAACAAAATTACAAGAAAATGGCTAAATATCTTTAATTTTACATGTACCAACCTCAAAATTTTTTTGCGGGAATTATGAATTCAACAAATAATTCCACGCATACATCTTTTCACGACCTTCATGTTTCATGAGATTCTGTTCAACCAATCAGCGATGTTATTATCTCGAGCGTAGACGTACCGGTTTGTCATTGGCCATTGTGAACGAATCATTACTATTAGTGACATTAAGATTTATAGATTTTCAGTTGGCTGTACGCACCGTGCATTGTTGGTTGCCTAAGCTCGGCGCATCTCACAAAGGAATTGAGAAAAAAATCCGAACAATATCGCAATAAAAAATTTAAATAGGATTTACCGAGCCCGATGTCACGAAAACTGTTAAACTTATTGTGTAAAATATTTTTTTTCCATAATACATAAATACAAAGATTTTTATTTTTCACAAAATTATATTTTTGCTTGGTTATAACCTTGATACTAAAATTTTATTTTTCAGGCTTCATAAAATCATAATGCTGTACTTATGAAAACTATATCACTTAATTGTGAAAAAAATATACGGGGCGATCCATGCCAAATCACTGATGAGATCGTGAATTTTTCTGATTTTTTGGTATTTAGTACCCATTTAGTTAGAGTAGCTTTCACAAATTTTTTCAAATTTTTATTTCAACCCCTCAAGAAGTTATGAGCGTTTGAATATTTTGAGAAAAAATTTTTCAAATACCTGTAACTTGGCGAATACTATAGATATCGAAACTTTTTTGCGTCATATTTTTTTTTAATTTCTCAAAAAAATCGTCTCCATAAGTAAAATTATTTATTTTAAGAACTAGAAGATAGTAGTAGGGTTGGTTTCTCCACCTCCAAATAAGTTTATTTGTCAATTAAATCGAAATCTACATCATATAGATTATATACATTAGTAACAGATACATTTAATTAATAAAATTATTTGCCAGCTGGAAATGCCAAACAAAAATTTCAATTTTTTTTCCACATTTTCAAATTCACATTTTCGATCTCTCCATGCTTCTTAACCCTGCTTATAAAAAGCTTATAATTTGTTTTTTCGTAATACATCTATTAAAAATATTAAAATTATTTGTCAACAGAATGTATTGAAAATAAGAAAGTCTTCAGTACAAAACAGTCGGTAGAGTGAAGTTAAGAGGCTCTGCCACCCATTCTACTGCTGTGCTTTGCTCCCTTTTGTTGTATATACGAGTAGTTCTACCACTGTATTGAATTTAAATATATATGCCCATCAGTCTCTCTCACAAACTCCTGTAGATGCCGGACAAAAAAATTGTTTTAAAGATAACAACTAAAATAATATCATATATACATAGTTAAACCATTTATTGTTAAAATTACTAAATAAATAAACTTATATTTTTAATGTTTGCTAGGCGCCAAACTAGCTAAATAATTAGTGCTAAAATCAACCAATTTGTTACTTTGTCTTATACAAGCATCTTGTTGCAAGTTATCGAACCATCTCGATAAGTTCATATACTTTTGCTTATCTAAATAAGACATTGCAACCTGTAAAATAAACTTATTATTAAAGTAGAGTTGATAATATAGCAAATCCTTACCATTGCATTAATTAAAATATAATATAGCATCACATCAGCAACTGTTAATTTATATGAAACTAGATACGTTTTTGTTGCCAACATATCATTTAAATCCTAAAACAGAACTCGTAAACTTCACTTCCACTACATTAATTTTAAAAATATTTTATTATGAAAATTAAACACAGACCTAATGTATACAATATGTATTTAGTTCAGTTTTGCTAGGGTAAGAAAGAACTCCTTTAACGATCTCTTGTATGTATATCTTAACATATGTTTCAGAAAGTGATTTAGTGTAAGTATATTACAAACACTACACTGTAGCCACGATTAGATTAGTTCATGCGAAACAAATGATGAAAATTTGTTATAAATTTACTTACACTTAAAATTTGTCTCAGATTCTGGGGCTCGTCAATATGAATGACATGGACTATTCCATATTCGAGCCACTGCTGAATTTCAGCTTTTTCTAAAGAATCTTTACTCCACAGATTGGAGTTAGATTCAATTAACATTGATAGTACGATGTTAGTCACTCCAGTAACCGTTTTGTTGCCTATTGTACGCGAACAAATCTTAAAAAAACTTTGTTAAAATAAGTAAATAATAAATAAAGCATTATACATACAGAATCTTCGTTTATTTGTATTTTCCCAAGCGGGACTTTTAAATGAGAAGCTAGTTGTTCTAAATACTGTTGTGGATTTAAAACCATAATGCTTATAATGTACACACACAATGTGCAAGCAAATAGCAAAACCCCAGAACTGCAAAAAATATTTGAGGTTATTAGACGCAAAATATGTAGTTTAGGTGTGTTTACCCACGGTATACAAAAAAAATGCTTCTTGTAGACCCATAGATAACAGTTTTCAGTTTAAAGGCTTGTTTCTTTTGGATTTGCATGATGATCTGACTCTGACCGTCTACTAACTTTAAAACAGAAATAACCCTTTATTACTCCCTAAATAAATGACATAGATCCTTTTTCTATGATATATTCTCTTCTACAGTTTACGAAATTATACAGGGTATCCTAAAAGTAGGGAAACCCCAGAATAACTCGGAAGTAAATTGCTATACGGAAAAACGTTTCATACAAAATTTTCAGGATTTTTTCCGGGCTCTTCAATGATGACCTTGACTTTGACCTTGGCCTTGAAGGTTATTTCAAGGTCAAGGTCATTTTTTCAAATGGGAACCCCTACTTTTTATCATGCCATTGGAAAGAGCAGAAAATTTTACGTCCGAATATGACTTTGACCATGACCTTGAGACCACGGTCAAGGTCATTTTAAGGTCAAATAAGATTTTTGTTAGATACTGCCTGGAGACCGCAGAATAACTCTGAAAGGGATATATGGAAAAACGTTTCATACAAAAGTGGTCTGAAGTGATCTAAAAAATAAAGGTCATGAAGTCATATTCGGAAGCAAAATTTTCCGCTCTTTCTAACTCCACAATCAAAAATATGAGTTACCCTCACAAAGAATGACCCCTACCTTGAAATAACCACGATCTCAAGGTCATGGTCAAAGCCATATTCGAACGTAAAATTTTCTGCTCTTTCCAATGGCATGATAAAAAGTAGAGGTTCCCATTTGAAAAAATGACCTTGACCTTGAAATAACCTTCAAGGCCAAGGTCAAATTCAAGGTCATCATTGAATAGCCTGGAAAAATCCTGAAGCCCTTGTCTGAAACGGTTTTCCGTATGGCCCTTTACTTCCGAGTTATTCTGGGGTTTACATACTTTTGGGATACCCTGTATATATGGATGGATAGGCTTGTTTTAGAAGTACTTCCTTTTTGTATCTTCCAACAGTAATGTCTGATATCATAAATAATTCTACAATTCTCTGAAAAATTTATATTACAAAATTATAGGTACACAAATACGCTCTAGGAAATTACATATTAAGTTTTCCTAGGCTGGTATTAACATTTACGTCAGGCAAAGTTTGTGTAATAATTCCTGTAGCTACAGTTATATTATTTTCTCGTACTGTAAATTGCTGCCCCTGTGACATGACCATTTTCCAGAGAAGTGTTATTTTTACTGTACCATGTTCTCCTGGCATTAGCATGCTGACTCCTTCATCTAAAAATCATACTTAAGATATAACAATATAACACATAAAATAACATAAAATTTTGTCACCTAAATCAATTCTGCAGGGTACATTCCATGTTCTACTGAATAATTGTTGACAATATTTACCCAGTATGGGTTTTGATCGACCACCTTCGCTTCTGGATAAAAAATAAATGCTAGCTTTAAACTGGTTACTCAACTTTTCGCTCCCAGGAGCGCAAAGTAGCATTCCCCTTTCCACATCTTTAAGCCTCACTCCTCTCAGTAGAGCTCCAATGTTGTCACCGGCTCTTGCCTAAAATGCAGAATACATCATTTTATTTTTAAATAGTGAAAACATATTCACTGTACAGTGTGGCCAATTTCGACCCCTTTAGGGACAGAGATCATTTTTTATTTTTTTAATTATGAAATAATTTAATAGATGTTTTAATCAGTTTTCTACTTTTCTAACTTTCCATTGCATAGATAATACTTAAATAAAAAGTTTTCTGTAATAACGATGCCAATAGTCTAGTATGTCGTAAGATGATAATGATGGCGTTGAATTAAAATTTTTAAAATCAAATAAAAATTTATATATGGCATTTTTATGAATTGATTCGCATTAACATTAATTGTAGAATATTCAGTGACAAAACGCTACACATTCATTTAATGCAAACACACCATGGTAAGTAAAACAAATTTATGATATAAAATAATTAGAATTGCTATTTTATAAAATATACAAAATAAAAAACTTACTATAATCTGATAGATTTGAAATACTTTTTAAATCATTTCAATTTTTCAATAAAAAGTATCTCAGTATCATTGACCTTTGACATTGGCCTAATAGTTTAGGTAAACCATATAATATCGATACACCTGATGTGATATGACAACAGGGTGTACAAAAAAAACAAATGACTAAAATTAACTCAAAACGAAACAAGAATGACTGAATATGTCACCAGTTCATTTTATTACATTTATTTTTAGTTTTCAGTTTAACGATTTAAGAGGTGTTTTGTAACATGTCAGTAATATTGCAACTTTCCATTGAAACATTAGTTTTTTGATATGTCATATTTGTAAAATTTCTGTGTGATATAAAAAAACATGTATACCAATCTAGAAAGATGGCATTATTTTATAAAGTTAAAAAAAGTTCGGAATTTGTAAAAATAAATTTAAATCGCAAATTATAGAGAAATTTCTTTAGATTCTACACAGAAAAGTTCAATGAAAACCGTTTTCATAAAAATAAAAAATTTTCAAACAAAAAAAGTTATTTGACATCACAAAAAATGTCATACACACTTGCGCTATGGCAACTAAATGCAATATTATTTTTCAAATAGTAATATTTGCGGTATTGCTGAATGAAGAACGACTACTTAGTGAGCGAATTAGAAAGTAACGTAGTAAAGTTAGATAATTAATTTAAATAGGGTATATTTTAAATTTAATCTATTGCAGCTATTTAAACTTTAACACACACATTCTTATAATCAGGGCGTAAAAGATCGAAGAGTAATGGATGTTTTTTAATAATTTCAATTAATTTCTCTGTAAATTCCATTCTTATATTGATGCGACCAGCGATAATGTAACCTGTTGGGTTCTGAACGCCAACAAATTATATCGCTACGATCACCACAATCTAACGCTGCATGAATGCCTTGTATCACCAACAAGTCGCAATCAGTATAGACCCATTTGTTAAAGAAGAATTCAATTATAGTCGCATTTGTCACCGCAATCGCTGTCATGATCTTATAGATGTGTTCTCCCTTAAATGAATCAAGTTAACTAGATGTGGTTTTTACTGTTCCATTTTTCTCAAGTCATGCCTGCAACATTTTACCTACTTTTTGTTTATCTCCTCAGAAAATACAAGTAACCCCACAAATGTGTCAAAATTGGCCCTCCTTGTACATTTATGATATACAAAAAAATAAGTATTAGAAGTACACGAATATTTACCTCGGGTACACTTTTTTTAAACACCTGTATATCAGTAACAGTTGTTTTAATCTCATTATTAAAACCCAAAAGATTAGCCTCCTGGTTCTTCTTAATAATACCTCTACTTAGTGTTCCAATTACGACGGTCCCTCTTCCCGGGATTAAAAAGGCATTATCTATTGGAATCAAAAAAGGAGCTGCAAAATCCCTTTCCGGATTTGGTATATAATTGTCGACAGTCTCCAACAGTTTTCTTACCGATTTTTCTCCAATTTCTGTGTCTTTCCCATTAAGAGCTTCCAATGCCGACCCAAAAATAACAGGAGCATTGCTTCCATCAAAGCCAAAATCCTCTAAAAGTTCTCGTATTTCTAATTCAACCAAATCAAGTACCTATAAAATGTGCAGTAAGCTCAACTGCTTCGTTCTAATTAGCTGTATGAGAATATACTTACTTCTTTATCAACTAAATCAGCTTTGTTGACATAAACGATTATTTTAGAAATTCCAACTTGTTTTGCTAATAAAATATGTTCTCTAGTTTGAGGCATTTGGCCATCGGTAGCCGCAACAACTAATATTGCTCCGTCCATTTGCGAAGCTCCAGAAATCATGTTTTTTATATAATCGGCATGTCCCGGACAATCTGTATGAGCATAATGTCTTTTGACGGTACTATATCCAATATGAGCAGCATTAATTGTAATACCTTTAACAAATTTAATGATAATATATAATAGAAGCAATATTATTTTAAAAAGTTAATTTACCTCTCGCTTTTTCTTCTGGTGCTTTATCGATTTGGTCATAGGAAACATAATTAGCTAGTCCATCCTTTTGCAACACTTTTGTAATAGCTGCAGTTAAAGTGGTTTTGCCGTGGTCTACATGTCCTATGGTTCCTATATTTATATGTTTTTTCTTTTCATCGTCATTTTGTTTCAAACTTGCCGCTGAAGATGAGAAAAACCGGGCATATTTTAGGTTATGTAGATTTTTATGACAAAACTGACATACATGTGAAAACCGTCTTCTGGTGAAAAAAGATATATTTTTTTGTGGAGAAATTAGATGTTGAAGGCTTCGAAACATATAAACAGCTGACATTTTATGAAATCTACTACAAAATTATAACATAACCACCATTTTTGCCATCTAGAGGTTGTGTTTGACAGGTGGATCTTTAACCTTTATGCAGTGAGTTCATAAGATCGATTTTCGTAAAGAATTTAGTAGTTCCTACAATTAACACGGCAATTTTTGTGTCACCTATTCTTGGGGTCGGCCTAGCGCAAGTGGCAAGGTTAGTATGACATAATTTAATATTTCGGGTAAAAATTTGCAAAATTGTTATTCCATTCAACAATATCCACTATCTACTCACTAATGTCTTGAATTGTTTAGATTATTAACGACATCCGGATTTGTATAATTATTAGTGATATGCTTACATAATACCGTGTTCTAATGGCAAATTTTTAGGACTACATAATGTTGGGTCGTTTTGGTAATTTGGCACCAATACTTACACAAAATGTGCCATCACAGCAGCAGCGTGGTATGGCCACCCTAAAATCCATAGCCATTCGTTTGAAATCTGTAAAAAACATCCAGAAAATCACCCAGTCCATGAAGATGGTGTCAGCTGCTAAATATACTAGAGCTGAACGTGAACTAAAAGCTGTTAGACCCATCGGTAGTGGTGCCCAGCAGTTTTATGAAAAAGCTGAAATTGTTCCACTGCCAGATGTCCCACAAAAACTTGTTATTGCCATTACATCCGACAGAGGTAAATAAAATATATTTCCCCAATGATGTTTATTAATAATAATAACACATGCTTGTACGACAGGTCTCTGTGGAGCTGTTCATACCAGTGTTGCTCGTCATATCCGTACAGAATTATCCAAGGATGAGCAAAACATAAAAGTTGTCTGTGTCGGGGACAAATCCCGTGCAATTCTTCAACGTGTGTATGGGAAAAACATCATCATGGCTTGTAATGAGATCGGTCGTTTACCGCCAACTTTTATAGATGCTTCCAAATTAGCTGACGCTGTTCTAAAATCTGACTATCAATTCAGCTCTGGTGAAATCGTTTATAATCGTTTCAAATCTGTGGTATCATATACCACTCAGACACTGCCAGTTTTTAGTTTGGCCTCTGTGACGGTAAGTTGCAATATCTATTAATTAGTAGTAGCTGCAACTATTTTTTTTTTTAATTCAGGCTGCTCCCAAATTATCGATCTACGACTCTTTGGATGACGAAGTCATTCAAAGCTACTTGGAATTTTCATTGGCGTCTCTACTATTCTACGCCTTTAAAGAAGGCGCTTGCAGTGAGCAATCGTCTCGTATGACTGCTATGGACAATGCCAGTAAGAACGCAGGAGAAATGATTGAGAAACTCACTCTCACCCTCAACCGTACCAGACAGGCTGTCATCACTAGAGAGCTGATTGAAATCATCTCTGGAGCGTCAGCCCTGTAAATAAATTCACCTTGAAGATTCGTTTTATTGTGTGGCTGTTATCTTTTATATCATTATTTTTCAGTAAATTTAAGGTAAAAACAAATAGGGATAGGTGAAATATTTTAAAATCCGCGGATTATTTCTTTTTTCTATTATTATTTCGTCTCCGATAACAGGCCATAATAAAGCCATAGTATAATAGCACTGCATGTAACGGTGGAAGTGGATGGAAACGTGTAAGCCCAAAGTCTCTGAACATCAAATGAATGTTTTGTATTCATATTTACTGTTATATGTTATTAAATTATGGCAATAAACACCTGCTATGTGTACTAACTCAGTTTAGTTTTATTTCTGTAACTTTCTGTCTATGCATAATTTTTTACGTATTCTACAAACAATATTTCAGATACTACAGTATTTCTTATAATAAAGAGCTTAAGTCGTATTTAATTAATGTCAGTTTTATATAGTGTAAGGCCAAACAAAAATTAAAGAAGAAATTTTATGTTCATAAGAACTGTACAGGATGTTTCGGAAAAGGCAGCACAAATTCAGACTGATGCAATGTCCTAAAATAAGTTTTTTTTCCTATGAACTGTGAGCATTTCGCCTCTTGTTTTTGCAATACAATGCACCAAGGAAATTTTTTAACATTAAATTTCAGCCAGATCTTTTATAAAAACAGCATTAACGGTTGTTAGGGCCCTAGCCGGCGGGGCCCAGCCAGGACAAAAGGAGGTCCCACAAAGCGCCTACACCGGCCGCATTTGCGGTCGGGGTAGACGACGGATGGGCCCCACCTACGAAGGCTGTCCAGGCCTACACGAGATGAGGCAGGATAAAGAGGGATAATCCCCCTCGATCCCAAATCATTGAGGCCAATTTCTAGCCATAGAATAATGGCGGTTGCTACAAAGAAATTTTTAGGGTGGTAAAACAGTTAGTTGACTAGTTTTTGACCTTCTGTTAAGAGGTCGCTTGCTGCTGCTTTGGTCGTTGGACTCGTTAGCGTTACCTTAGTCCATTAATATTCTATGATTTTAGCTGTGGTAGTAGCACAGCTCATAAAGCTCCTCAACTGTCTTGGCGGGATTGGTTAGCGTCGATTCCGCAGCGCAGCGTTTATGCCCCGCCTTCCAGCGGAAAAGACGGCTTTGGCGTTCGTTCAGGCGAGTAGCGACAACGGGTAGTAAGAATTGCATCATAGGCGTGGGTATAATTTCGTTGATTTATTTTTATTTTATTTAATAATGAAAATGAAGATACCTTATTTGGACAATTGCAAATGCCAAACGATAACTTTGTTGAGCTCATTTGGAACACTGAAATGATATTTCAAGATAATTTTGAACAATTATCCACAAAAAATAACATTTGTAGCACAATTCTTGAATTAATTAAAAGACTACCTTTTAGTCATCCGTGTCATTCCTTTCCGAAATAATTTGTACTTAGGTTATATTTAAGGGTTAAAATTTATTATACGTTATAAACTATAAACCAAAATTTAAGGAATATTCAAAAAATAAACTTATATTAATGGAGAAGTCTGTAATGATTATATTTTTAATACTATATATTATGTTATTATATTTTTTTGTATATTATATTGTAAGCATGTTTTATAATATGTATTAGTCCAGGCTGTATCGTTGCAACCGCTAGGAACATGATTCTCATTCGAATTTTTTTTCATAATCTTACTAAAAAAATGACCCTTGAATCATATCCGCATGTTGCCAGACATTACTAATGGTCAAAAATTGTTTAAACAATTTTTTTAAAACTAATTCGTAATTTTCGATTTTTTCGCTTGAAATACATTTAATAGGCTTTTTGGCGTATCCTGAACAAAAATGTTCATATGCAACTTTTCTCTAAAATCTACTGTTTTCGAGATATTAACGATTTTTTCGGAAAAAACGCGATTTTAACCATTTTCTTCTCTAAGGATTACGTCAGTAAAGAGGAGCTTACAACAAGGAATTTTAATTACTCTTCAAGTTTTCTTTTAATAATCCGTATTAACTCCAAGTACAAATCCTATTACCTATCTAAAATACCCATTTTCTACTTTTAATGTCATACCACGTAATATTCTAATTCAAATTTCATATTATTAAAATTACCTACTACGGTACTGACAGGTAGAAACTAAATATTTTATTTCAATAATAAAAATTATTTTAATCCAGCCCCGACAATTCCGCTTAATCTGAGAAGAGTTAGCACGATTACGTCTCGCTTGGTTCTCGACCGCCACATCAATGGCGCCGACACGGACTCTTCCAGCTGTATTAAGCTGTGTAACTAAATTTTATTATTGGAATTTTAGGTTAAAATATTATTAGGTTAGTGATGATTGTTTAAAATTTATAAATAAAGTAACCAACGAGTTACCGGGTTTGCTATGGCAGATTGGAGAATAAACGAAAAATACCGCAAACCAAGAAAAGCTAAAGGAACCCCATTTTATGTTCAGAGAAACTATTATGCCTTTGGTGTAATATTAGGAAGTGCGGCTTTGTGGTACTTGTACGAGTAAGTATGATTCACAAAATAATGTAATATTAGTATATAATATATATGTATTGTGTTTGCATCTGTATCAAATATTTTTAAGGCTGTGGCCAGTATCCAGAAAAATAAAGCAAGATCAAATAGATAAAGAGAAATTTAAGATTCCTGAAGGTTTAGAAATTAGGGTAAAACATATGCAAATTGGAAAGTTGAGTGGACCTACAGATGAGCTTTTAGCAAAAGCCAGAGAGAGAGAAGCAGATAAATATGATGAAGACAAGTCAAAGCCTCAATCGTGGCTCAGCAGAGTCTTCAGCTCCCAGCCAGATATTTAAAAATGGCAAATCTAGGTTTGTGTTCATTAGTAATTTTTAAATGGTTAATAAGATCCGTTTAATAAAAACATAGACATAGTAAGTAGTGATAATAAATTATTGCTAATTAATTTGTATTTTATTTGCCAGTTCCAAAAAGAATGATCACATTTCAAAATATTTCATTACGAACAAGCACACTGTGGAAGATTGTACTAAACCTTTAAATTCTAATCATTTTGATTCACCTTATAAAAAATGTTTAAGTGAAATTAAAATCATGTCTGGAGCTGAAGATCCCAGTAAAGATTTTAGTACACCTAAACCCATTAAAGTGCAGAAAAAGAATCAGAATAAAAAAAGTGCACCACTCAGACAGAGTAAATTAAAATCAAAATTAAACTTCTCACGAAGTAAATCCACAGTGAAGAATTCAATATTCAAAACTACTCAGGACAATTTTGCATTATCGGATGTGAATCCTGATCATCTTCAAATGGCTATAGCTTTATCAAAATCAACTTACGCCGCTGAATATCCAGAACTATCAAAGAATACTGAAGATACTATTCCAAGCTTTCTAACGCCTGAGAAAATTCCTAAGGGCAAAACTACTTTGGAGAGGTATGGTTTTAAATCTGACAAGCCTAAACTACTTGCAGAATTCAAAAGAGAATCTATTGAGGTAAATGTCTTAAAAACTATAATATGTATATTATGTAATTTCGTATTTTTAGGTTCCAAAGAAAAATAAAAATTCGAAATTTCGTTTTATAACACCAACTCTCAAAACTCGTACGATGGAAGAAAGAGAGTCGATCATAGCCGCAAAGATTTCATTAATCCTTTCCTCTAATAAGAATTCCTGTGATGAATCAACAGACTTTCAAAATGACGAATTATATAGTGATAAGCTTAAAAAATTTGTAGGATATTCAATGTTTACAGCAAATGGATTTAGTCTTTATGAAAATGATAAATATTATATAAAAAGTTTAAATATTTCCCCGACTAGATCTAAATGTGGGAGCTTATTAAAAAAGTGGGAAGATATACCAGGTAGAGAAAAATCACCAATTCGAGGTGAGCTTGATAAAACTGATAAAAACAATATTAATAATGTCAGTATAGTTTCTGTTTCCTCTTCTCAAAGCAGCTTAAAACTAGATGCAACTATTACTACAATTTCCTATAATTTATCGGTAAAATCTCAAGTAAAAAGGGATTGTATTTCTCCAGATTTATTTGAATCTGAGGATGAAACTGAGTATACACCACAGTCTCCAAATACAGTAGACGATTTTTCACAATCTTTATTATCGCCTTCAAAAAAACAATTAAAATTATCACAGCCTGATAGCTTTGAAGAGGTACCAAAATATACAACTTTGAAGACTGATAGTTTGGAGCTTATAGAGGATAACTCTGAAGAAACTTCACAAAAAAGTTCACCATTAACAAAAAACAATGTAAATGTAATAAAAAATATACTGGAATATTCAGATGAAGACACTGAAGAGTTGTATATAAGTTCTCTAAAAGATAAAGGAGAGTTCGTAGTGAATTTAACGCAAGAATCGCCATCAAAGAATGCAACAAAAGTACTATCGCCAGAAGGCGAAAAGTTGCATTTAAAATCTCCAATAATCGAAAATTTTGTTGTAGATCTAACAATAAGTTCTGACGATGATTCGTCTATTTCTTTTACACATAAAATAGGTGGTAAATTAAATACAAATGAAACTGTTGAAACTATTCTAAGTAAGGAAAGTCATACTAAAAATATAGAAAATTCTGACATGAATTTTGAAATGTCACCGTTACTTCTAATAAACTCGGGTAACGTTATTGAAACTGAAGAACCAGCAAATTTCTCAAGTGCCTTTGCAGAAAAACCTACGTCTTTACCTGATATTGAACATAGTAGACTTTCGAAAACGTCCTTTGATATATCCTTTGGATTAGACGGTTGCAACAGTATGTTAAACGTGACGGACTATGTAACGCAAATTCTGAATCAAAATGAATCCAAAATTGGTAAAAACACTTGTAGAAATGTACTATATATTACTATTTGAAAGTTAAAATTATTTTTAGGTGAAAATAGACATGCCGACAGTCCATTAACTAACACACCGTGTTCTAATACAAAACCTGTCGACAGTCTTGATAACGAGAAATATGATATAGAAAAAAGTAACAGCCAAGGTGAAGATAAGGATCTTATTTCAAGTCCAGAATCGTGTTCACAGGAGAGTATTATTATTAGTGATGAAGAACTGAATTATTCAAGCATAAACAGTAACAATGCAAAAAATAAACATTTTTATGAGTTATCAGACGCTGATGAAATATATGGAAATAATGAAAATGAAGCAGATTTAATGGATATCGATGAAGTTTATAGCGTTCATTCAGGTAATTTTCAAAACAATAGTACGGGTGTGAAGCTATTCACATCCACATTTTCTACTAGGACTAGAATCGATATGGTCGTCGCCTCAAAAATTTTGGAAAAGAAAATCATAGCTCCTTTATTATGTGTCCTCGACTGTTTTTATAGATCGCTTGCAAATATGTAATTATAATGAGCAACTATTAGAGCTTCATTCGTCATCCCTTACGGTGGATTGTTTTGTTATAATGTGCCTTCGAGCTTTTATTTTACCATATATCGACTGGAAATAAGTAATTACATTAATAAACGGTCTCACATTCATTTGTCAGCCCGTAAAGGGGGAATGAAATGGGGTGAATTTCATAAAAAAAATTTGTTGTTTCGAGTTTTCATTTTATCACAGATCGACAGGAAATAAGGAATTACGTTAATTAGAAGTGTCACATTCATTTGTCGGTCAATATGGATGGATGAAATGGGGTGAATTTCATAAAAAAAGTTTAAAACGAATTTTTTTATGAAATTTACCCCATTTCATCCCCCCTACGGGCTGACAAATGAATGTGACACTTCTAATTAATGTAATTTCTTGTTTCCTATCGATCTGTGATGAAATGAAAACTCAAAGGCCGTTATAACGAAGCAACGAAATTTTTTTTATGAAATTTACCCATTTCATCCCCCCGTAAGGGCTGACAAATGAATGTGAGACCATTTATTAATATCATTACATAGTTCCAGTCGATATATGGTAAACTAATAACTCGAAGGCACATTATAACATAACAAGAAATTTTTTGTGAAATTCATCGCATTTCATCCCCCATAAGGGATGACGAATGAAGCTGTGATTGTTGCTCATTATAATTATATATTTGCAATCGACCTATAAAACGTCGAGGACGCTTAATAAAGGAGCAATGATTTTTTTTTACAAAATTTTTGAGGCAAGGACTTTATCGATTCTAGTCCTACTAGAAAATGTGGATGTGGATAACTTCACACCCGGACAATAGTCGCTTTAATTAGAGTTTTCAGTTAATCCTTTCTATACGCACATCCATTTGAAATGTTATACCATACCCATATGCGAAAGAATGCAAATATTTGTAAACATACGGCAGTTCAATACAGTTCTTTAAAAGATACCCACATACAGCACTCATATACTAGCCATACTTATTTTAAAAAGTGAAATATTAGATATCATTTTATTATATTGTGTGTAATTATTTATTTGTTGCATTTTCCGTCTACCCTTTGCAGGAATCCTTCAAATTTTGGCATATATTTTCTCGTCTTTCCTATAGAATTACATGTAAGTTTTCTTGTTAGTTGTACCAGCTTTGAAGTCACATATCATGAACATCTTTATGCCGGATCTGTGGTGTTTCGATAATATGTATTGTTTAAAGCTATGCCACCTTTTGAACGCAACCAGGTTTCCATAAATACATAGGTTTTTCTTTGGGATGAAACGTTATTTAAATTTACTTCTCAGATAATCAAGGGAATATCTGATTTTGAAAGGTTCATAATTATTTGTCAGTTCCGTTTTATATCAGAAATGTAAAGTTTTGTTAAAAAGTTAATAATATATGATATATTGACCAATATACATGCATCCTAAGCTTTTTTACATTTAATCATAAGCAAAAATAAACTAAAACGCATGTACATTGCAGCAACTGTGACATCGGAAGAATTTCTATATTTTTTTAAAGAAAATTTGTTTGTTACATTACTCAGTTACTTTTTTGATAAATTCTTATAAAGAATACTTTAAAGAATTAAAGTTTTTCAAATGTTTGTCATATCATTTTGAACTGTAAAATTTCTGAGAATTTTCTATAAAAAATCAACATACTATTGAGTTTCTTTATGTTTTCCATCAAATTTTGTTGTTACATTAGGTTACCTTCTACTTCACTTTCACCACCTCCTCAATTGAAAATACTACTCGGTATCCACATCATTTTTGGAAAATAATTTAATAATTTCCGCATTTAGTTACAATTCTCTTTCTGTAAGTGTTTCTTATTAGCCTCCATTTTAATTATAACATCAAGTTACTGTAGTGATTGCCAATTATAACCACTTTATTTGCACCTATGTCGAAAGGTTGTAACTCTTATTTAACTGTCGCAGCACAAAAATATTCGTATTTCAACCATGTAGAATGATTATTTTAGCGATTGTTTTTAACAAGCAATATTAATGCACTTGTACTCGTATAGAAGGGATTTATACATACAAATTTTCCTGTTATTTGACTCACTTTCCACTCCATCATTTTTTAGCATTAAAAAATAAGTATAAAAATAAAAGTGTCTCAACACCTGTTCATAACCGATTATCCGAACTCAGAGGCAACTCACCCTTAACAAAGGTATCCCTTACAACAGCGTTTCTAGAGGACTCTTTCAACGATATACTAGAAAATTCAAACATACTCAAAGAATTAGAAAGCAAGTCCAATGAGAAAGTAATTGTTAACCCATCCCAAGCTGAAATCACTGAAAATAAATGTACTCCTGAAAAGGTGTTAGTTGCATCTAAAGAAAATATCACAACTCCAGAAAACAATTTAATAGTGAAAACAACGAATGTAACACCTTTAGCAAATTACGATGCGATGAACACTCCAGGAATTATTAAAGAATTGCAGAAGTTTGGCCTGAAGCCGTTAAAACGTCAGAGGGGCGTTAAATTACTGAAGTATCTTTACGAGTGCACTCATCCATTGGTACAACCTGGTGAAATTGAAGAATTGAGTTCTGACGAAGATGATGAAAAAAGAATTACCAAAAAAAGAAAAAAATGTAGTAACATAAAAAGATGCGGTACTAGTTCAGCTGAAATAGGGGGAAATATTCGTAGATGTGATCAAAGCGATATAGAAATTGTAGGAGATGATCTGCTCAAAAAGTAAGTCAATTATGAATTAATAGAAGGAATGTATCTATAGGTATTTTGTTATTACCAGGTATCTAAAATGAACTGGCCCCTGTACATATTTTTGATCCACAGTATCAAAATGAAAATATTGTTTTTAAATAATCAGAAGATTTTTCTTTCGAAATAAGTTGGTTTTTAGAGCGTACAGCAACAGTTAGTATTTATTTTTTGTTTGTTTGTTTTTGTATTTAGTTTATTTAACTTTGACAAGTTTTCGAGCGTTTTCTTGTGAAATCTGATTACAGTTCTGTGTTATTCTCAGCAAAGTTCTTTTCTATTACTTAGGAGTGTCAAATAAATTAATTCTTTTGGATGACCCCACAAACAAAAATATAATGGATTTAGATCGGGCGACCTAGGGGTTCATAAAACAGGTCTGCCTCGATCTTTTGATCACTGAAAGTGTATGATAAGTATTAATGCATTAAACGCTCAAAATTAGGTACTACGTATTTTAAATACTTGCCTCTTTATCTTTAATTCTTTTCTCTTAATCTATTTGAAAGGTGTTTGGACTTGTGCAGTTAAATAAACTAAGTACATGAAATTATTTGTAAAAAATTAAACTCTAGTTGTTCTCTTTGTACTAATTGTTTTTATTATTGTTTCAAAAACCAATTTATCTCAAAAACTCTTTAATTTAAAGCAAAATATTCACCTCTATACGAGCCCAGGCTCGTAATAGTTCGGCCAGGTATAGTTTTACTACTAATATATTTAAATATAAGTAATAACACTCAAAAGATAAATATCGGTAACAGAAACAAAGTATAAACTTTTACCTTAAATACGATTAAATATTACTATGTACTGATGTGCCAATGACTAGTTTGTTAATAAAAAACATTCAAATTGGCACCTTTATTAAGAATAACATCTTTAATTCTGGCAGGCATTGTATTTACCAGATTAGGGCACTCTTCAGAAGGCGTACTATCCCAAATTTCTTGCAATTTGATGCGTAGATCGTTAACTGAACGGGCTGGATGTTTGCTAAACTGCGTTTTCATTTTATGCCACATTGTTTCTATTGGCAAGAGATGTGGACTGCTAGAGGGTCATTCCATAAAAGAGACATTATGTTTCTGTTGCCAATATTTTTCTTTAATAAAATAATTTTGAGTATTAGTACTTTTATCGAAATATATTAGTAGCAAAATTATGTCTGGCCGAACTATTATGAGCCTGGGCTCGTATATTCAACTAATAACTTTAACTGGTATAGTTGCTAGTTGTCAATACCTACTTGTAAAATATTTTTTAATTTTTAGCGAGAATTTTGATGAACTAATATTTGAGAGGAAGTTCTCTGTAAGATTTCATTCATGTCGAATACCTTTACAAATTGTGTGGCATAATTTTCTATCACTAAATGCGGATATAAAAGAAAATATACTTTTGTATGAACCGTTACAATTAGAAGTTCTACACGCAATGCTAAAGGAACAAACAGGGTGTAAATTCCATATCCAAGTAAGTCCAAATTTATTTGAAATATATTGCAATAGTATCATTCAAAAAATATTTCATTTTGATTTTGATAGGTTAAGTATAACTTGCCAGATATAATTTGTTTCAAATTTTAGGACCTTTTAACATTTTTTGATAGGAAATGCATCACTATTCGGACTGCTCAGGGATCTCGGAGGAAGTCCAAATTTTAAAAATTGCTTTTTACGATTTATATTTTTATTGCTGTTTTAAAATTTCAAGGAACATTTTATGTATATTTTAAAATTAAAAGTAATTTTATATTTTAATTGTAACCTATGTTTACTAAACTAAATATAAAGCTTTTTTACAAGTATCTGATTTATTATTTATATATTCATATTTCTATGCCAACTACAAGTATCCAAGTAATATCATCACATCCCGTATGGTTGGATGTGGTATTATCACATCCAAAAGCAAATTATTCTTTCTTGTTTTGCCGTTTGATTTTATAGTCTGACAAAGCTGCTTTAATGGCATCTTCTGCTAACATTGAACAATGTAGCTTCACTGGCGGAAGTGATAATTCTTTAGCGATCTCAGTATTTTTTAATTTCAAAGCCTGATCGACAGTCTTTCCTTTTACCCACTCTGTTGTGTAAGAACTGCTTGCTATAGCTGATCCGCAACCAAAGGTCTTAAATTTTGCATCTATGATTTTTCCATTTTCATCAACTTTTATCTGAAGTTTCATAACATCTCCACAAGCTGGTGCTCCTACAAGTCCAGTACCAACGTTCTTGTCATCTTTATCCAGTGAACCAACGTTCCTTGGATTTTCGTAATGTTCAATAACATTCTTGTGATACGCCGCAGTGGATATTTTTATAGGTTCCCTTACGGCACATAAAATCTTAATTGTGGCGTTGAGAGCCATTTTACGATCTAATTTTTCTGTAAATATAGAAATATGTATATAAGTAAATACATAAAAATGAATATAATACACACTTACTAAAAATGCACGGTAGTCACAATTCTCCAATACTTCTGATTTTTTCTGCTTGACATTCAACCTTCCATTGCGCATTGCGCTTGCGCACCATATGCAACTTTTTTTTAATCCATGGATCAATACCTACCACGTGATGAATTCGATATGATCAAATTTATTTATTTTAAGAATTGAAAATTAAGAATGCACTTGTTTTATACTGGTTTTAGATGAATATGAAAATACTTCATAAGCTCTTTTGTGTATCACAAATCTAGAAATTTCTGCTTTACTATGAAGAGTATGTTCCTAATAGCAGTTTAAATTTCAAATCTTTTTGACCCCATTGTGTTCTGCAAAACGAAAGCAGTTAGTATTAGTTAATGTGCCTAGTAGTTCAAAAGGTATATTAAAATAAAAAACTAGGTTAGAAACAGTTTTTCTAAGGTTATGACAGAAATTGTTCGACAAACATGTCTTAAATGATTTTCAAAATTTTTAGTGAAAATGGTACACGTAACATATTCCAAATTAATGCCGTTTCGTGTAGTTAAATCAAATACTGTTAGGAATATAAGTAAATATCTTCACAGACACATTTGTTCCAAAGCCATTAGGCAAAAATTTTTAGATTATTTTGTACTAGAAACTGGACATAATTTTGTTAAATCTAGTCCTGTTGTACCATATTGTGATCCCACTTTATCATTTGTGAATGCCGGAATGAATCAGGTTTCTAACATTTACACCACTCGTAAGTATTTGTTTGACATTGTTTTTAGTTTAAAGGAATATTGCTTAGTACACAAACGCCTCAATATAAGAAAGTGGCAAATTGTCAAAAATGTGTGAGAGTTGGAGGTAAACATAATGATTTAAACACAATTGGAATAGACGGATATCATCACACATTTTTTGAAATGTTAGGCAATTGGTCATTCGGAGATTACTTCAAGGTGTGGTATAAAGTTCATTATATGTACATTTTATTACCACTTTAAAAGTTTTTTTAGAAAGATGCTTGCAAATTAGCTTGGGATTTGTTAACTAGAGTTTATAAATTACCAAAATCAAGATTATATGTTACATATTTTATGGGAGATGAAGTTTTAGGAATTACAGAAGATTTAGAAACTAAAGAGATATGGAAAGAAATTGGGTGAGCTGTTTACTGTATTCAAAATATGTCTGATATAAAAATTACATTTGTATCCTTTTAGAGTCCCCGAAGAGAGAATCTTGCCTTTTGGAGCAAATGATAATTTTTGGGAAATGGGATTAACAGGCCCTTGTGGGCCTTGTACTGAAATTCATATTGACCACATAGGAGTGACAAATAGATCAGAATTTGTAAATAAGGGACTGCATGACTTGACTGAGCTTTGGAACATCGTTTTTATTGAATATAATAGGTAATAATTCTATTTTTTAAATATCATGTTTATTTTGTATCCTTTTATTATTAATAGACATATAGATGGAACTATTAGCACACTTCCACAGAAACATGTAGACACGGGCATGGGTTTTGAGAGGTTAACATCAGTCTTGCAGGGAAAAACTAGTAATTATGATACAGACAATTTTGCATATTTGTTAGATGCGATCCATAAGGTAAATAATCTTCCATTTAGTTTAAAAATGAATTCTAATACACTTACAGAATTCTAGGGGTTTGCCAAAATATGGAGGAAAATTTGGAGAAATGGATTGGGATAACTTGGACACATCTTACAGGATATTAGCAGATCACTTACGAATGATAACTGTTTGTTTGGCTGACGGAGTAATTCCTGAACAAAAGTAAGCAAACTATTAGTTTCATATATATATAATAATAATTACGAGTTTTCAGCCAAAAACTGAGAAGAATTTTACGGAAAGCATTTCTACTTAGTGAATCAGTGTTTAAAAAAGAAAAAGGGTTGGTAAAAGAGCTAACAAATTATGTCGTTGAGAACTTGGGCCCTATATATCCAGAAATGGAAAGGAATGTGACACAAGTAAATAAAACAGTTAAGTAATTATTTGTCTTGGAAATTCTACAATTTCTCTCTTTTAGATTCAGCAAATAGTAAACTATGAGGAAGAGATTTATAAGTATTTGAGGCAATCTGTAGCCAAAGACTGGGAAAGACTGTCCAAAGAGAATAAGAAGTTTTTAGAAATCGACATAGTTGAAAGTCCAAGTTTTATTACTGCATATAAAGAAGTCGCATCCTTAGATGTCAAGGAATTAGATGCAAATTTGGCTTTCAAATTATACGACACATACGGTTTGGATGAAGACACAATATTTAAACTATCAAGAGTGCTGGATTTAAAATTTAATTCTGATCTATTGGATCAGGAATTGGAGAAAGCCAAATATAAATCAAAAGAAAATTCTTTGACTCAAGACGATAACTTGTATTCTACTCTTGTTAAGGAGAATATTCCAAAAACCCATGATCGTTTCAAATACTTATACTCTAAAGATCAAGACAAATATGTGTTTAATAGTTTAGACGTAAAGGTTTTAAAGATTTTTCAAGAAGGTACTTCCGTTCCAGAGATAGACAGCGATTTTTACTGTTCTTTATTGCTTGACAGAACCAACTTGTATTCTGAGGCGGGAGGCCAAATCTGCGACACAGGCACCATCAGTTTTGGAAACAATACATTTGATGTTATGGCTCTCGAAAATATCAATGGGTATATACTACATAAAGGTTTTTTTAAATCCAAGGGCAGCAGATTGGATTTATATACAAGAGGGCAACTGAGTGTAAACCCAGAGTTCAGACTGGGTTGTATGAGAAATCACACAGGTGCGCACTTGTTAAATGCCGCTGTTAAGAAAGTCAAAGGGGCCACTTGTCAGAAATCAAGCAAAGTGACTGATAAATACTTAAGTTTTGACATTGCCATATTCGGTGATAAACTGGATGTCGATCAAATACACACGATTGAGGAACAAATTTTAAAAACTGTTAAGAATGAGCAACCAGTAAATGTTAGCGAGGTGGACAGCCAGAAATTATTGGATTTCGATTTTGTTACTTTAATACCTGGTGAAATATATCCTGATAGTGGCATTAGAATCGTCGAAATCAAGGATACTGATTTCGTGTCAAGGTAAAACAAGCATTTTATTTAAGTTAATTGAATTAAAATATATTTACCCCTCTTTCCAATTAGAAACCCCAAAAGTTGAAAACTTGTATGACAGAGGAGTGTACAGGATGTAACTTTAAGTGGGGTGTCAGTTTTTTAGGAGTACACTTTCTCAAAAACACTAATCAGAAATATATATATTTTTTAAATCGAATAAATCATATAGTTGGTTTTTTAAACTGAACTTAAACTTTTGTCTATGCCTTTACTGGGTAGCTCCAAAACTTAGTTGTAGTTGCACACTTATTAGTGTTATAGTCCGTACAATATTTGTTGAGATAGAATTCCAAGAAGACCCCTGCATCACTTTCTTGGAATTAACTGCATTAACCGACACCCAAGGTACAAAGACAATGGCAAAAAAATTCAAATTGTTACAGTAGTTCCGATAATAGAACTTTATTGGCTCATTTTTTCTGGGAGTTCTATTTCAAAAAATATTGTACGGGTTGTGTCTGTTATTCACTTTTTAAACCAACCTTAAAGAAACTAATGGATCGGCAGAAAGCGAAACTGCAGTGGGAAATGATTTAATTGTTTTTTTTATGACTGACGTGTTATTTTAGTCATCATATTTTTTTCATTTAAATGTGGATGAAGCACCATTTTAAAATTTTTAAGTGTTTTTAAAAAAAAATTAATATCTTTTGCATTATTTATTAAATATTGACTAATATTTCTATGTGGATAGTTATTACTGTAAGAAAAATTTGTTTTTAATTATTCTTTGCTTCAAGTTTTTAGAAAAAAAGTGTTTGTTTGTACTTTTTAAAAGCATTGCGTTTAGTTTCTGAATCTCAAGGTCAATGACCTTTGACGTTGACCTACTTTAAGGCAGTAGGGAGGCAAAAGACAAATGTAGCTTAAAAATAAATTTAGTTTTCACAATTTCAGAAAACAAACTTAAGAAATGTGTTTCTAAAAGTCAAAGGTAACCTTCGTATAAATATTACCCCCATTCATCTTGTACTAATTTTAACATGTTAATTTATCCATTAAAAAATATGTCATGTACTTACATCTTTTTGAAGGGAACCCTGTTGTGGAACACATGTATTGAATACTTCAGACATAGGAGACTTCTGTATTGTCAATGTAAAATCGCTGGGAAGAAGTACAACATCCATTTCGGCTGTTACCGGCGATAGAGCTAAACTTGCTAGATCGAATGCAGCCGAGTTAGTGGAAGAAATAGATGCACTAACGAAAAATATCGGTGATAATATTGACAAGGTAAAAAAAGAACGATTATCTTTATTACTTTAAAACTGTAATGATGAAATTGACTATACAGTTTACAAAATTTATATTTTAATATAATTCTCAACAAAATTAATATTTTGCAGCCAGAATTGTTGGATATGATAGTATCAAATTTAAGAAGGAAACTAAATTATAGTATTCAAGATGAATTTATACTTCCCATCTGTGTAAAGCATTATTGTATCGAAAAGTTAGATCAAATTAGCAAACAAATTAGAGAAACGACAAGGGAAAATTTAAGGTAATAAAAACCAACTCAAAGTTTACATTCAAGAAGCTGTTGTACTTTTTTTTTAGGGATTTTATCGAAATTGAAATGCAGAATGTGTTGGACTCGAGCGTTAAAACATCAAAATCCAATAAGAAATATATTGTCCATTACCTTCGCAGTTCAATGATTTTGCAGTCAGTGCCTTTACAGAAAGCAACAAAACTGTGTCCTGATCTCCCTATTCTAGTAATATCCTACGCCGATAATATGGTCAAAGCAAGGTGTTGCGTTCCTAAGGTACGTTAATAAATATTTTATACTTACCAATGACGAGCCCTATAGGGAGCATTTATGCCCCGTAAGCCGAATAATAACTCGTTTCCAAAGAAAGAACAAATCTTGTCGTTGATCGCTAGCAGATATCATTAAATAACGACTTCATATTCTAACAATTTATAAAAATGTTATTCCATAATTCGTCGTTACGATTTTCAACTCTAACTCACATTTGTTATAGTTCTTCCGAAGTCAGTTGAACATGCATAAAAAAACCGAGCAATCAAATTTATAATGTGTAGAAAATATTTATTAATGTTCATTTGACCAAAAACATATTTTAATTATTTATATCCTCAAACAATTTTATTATACCGGGGTCGGCATAAGTCGGGCAACCAATTTGCATTAAGAGAAAAAAATGCAGCCTCAAAATATATTTATTAAAAGAAATTACAAAAGGGATTCGAAAAAGGGTTACTGTAAGTGTTCAAATTGATGCCCATCTTGATCAATGCATGTACGGCAATGTTTCTTAACGGAGAGGCAGGTCCGGCGAGCGTTGCCGGACTTATGCCGATTTTTCGAGAGCGTTGCCTGACTTATGCCGACCCCTGTATTGATGGTAAATTTCGTTTTGTTCCGTTTCAAAAGGTCTACAAAGTGCCATGTTGTAATAATATTAGTAAACCAAATATCCCTCTTATTTTTCCCTTTCGCAATTGTAACATGAATGATTAATAGAAGGGTGCCTATAATAAATTAAAATTATCTGAATCACATCAAATTCCGCATTGCCGCACTGCACTGCTAGGCGACTTGTCGACGACTGAATTTTATGACGCAATGGACTAAAGCAACAGTGCGTATTGCTCTTTGCCCGCACGCCCATTCTTCAACTGAGCCTATACATTTCTACCACTTGCACGTTTCGTTCGACCAGACCTGTACATAAATGTGGGAACAAGTTTTTCAAATATTTCAATGGCGAGTTGCTGCTTAGCGACCGAGCCTGGTACATACCTTGAAGCTATTGGTTCTTCAATTGACTTCGGAAAAACTAAACACCAAGTGATAAATTGTGATACATTTGAACTAATTAACCTAAAGTTTGTTATAGAGTTAGATAATTTCAATTCTCTCTGTCAGTTATACATTGCACCTACCTGTGTAAATCCTCCGTAATGTCAAATTAAAATTCAGTTAGACACTGAGCGGTACACTTGACATTTATCGCCCAATTCAAAATGGCTACTCTTCAGAGGAGTCATTTGCTAACCTCAGTCATTTCGTAATATAATTATCGGATACAAAATAGGAAAAGTCGTTCACTAATGATTACCGTTTCATAACGATGTCGTTATTACCTACAAAATAGCCCCATTTTTCTTCATATCACATCATTTTAATTATTGTGTAATGTCACAGAAACTGAGGACTGACAAATTCAATGCAGAGAAATGGATGAAAGAAACGGTTGCTACCGTTTTCAACAGTAGGGCAGCTCCCCCTAAAGGGCAGGACGGATCTTTGGTCTGCAATATGAAGTCAAAGCGGGTACACTTACAAGATTGGGACCCACTACTGAATGAAGGTCTCGAAAAAGCTCAACAATACGTCGAAGAAAATTTATAGATTTTTAATTTTGTAAATTATTTATTACGCACTAATTGCATTAAATAGTCATTTCAGTTTTAGCGTTTATTTATTAAATACAATATTAACAAGCTTAACATTTATAGCAACATTAAGGTTCTATCAGCTTTTTTATTTTTAATGGTTACAGATCGAACAAGGCTTGGTTTATTACTCGATTACAAATTTGCACTTTCATTTTTTGGTATTCCATAAAAGTAATTGTTTTACTTTTCACAGTTTAAGCCATTTTATTTCACTTCATGAAAATATACAGCACTACTGATTCTTTTCACAAAGGCAAACATTTTATTTCGGTCCAATATAACGGAGACCCTTGAAATTTTTATAAAACCTTAAAAAATGAACTTCAAAGACGAACAAAACAATATTGAGGTATCTGAGGTAATTTTTCTTGTAAAACAAAAGTACATATATTTGTTTTAACACTACAGTAGGTGAAAATGTAAATAGATTGAAAAATGCTTCTTATACAACAAAAATTCGTAATTGATAAAATTAAAAAGAACAAAATATACAGAGTGGTCCAGATTTTAAACGAGAAACTAGACAAGGTGATAGAAAAAATTATTTGAAGGAAAGTTTCAAACAACTAAAATGTTTGAACAAACTTTAATGAGGGATTCTGTGTCACAAAACAAGGATAAAGTTCATATAAACATGTATTCGAAAATGTTTAGCTTTCGAGTTGCAAAGTTGCAAAACAATTTATTTATTTTTTTAATGAAAAAAGTTATTTTATTCAAATTTTTCACAGTTTTACAGTTTTTATTGGCCACAGTACATGTATCATACAAATTTATTACATGCAGGAGGGTCACTTATGTTCTCAATTTTTTTTTTCAGTTTTGATTTACTGCTGCGATCGAATACAAAAATGTATTTCTACTGCACGTTCCTAGAATACAATCATGTAGCTATATCGAAATAATTATACCCAAGTGCCGAAATGTCGAATTATTTACAAATAAATAAAATAATTATGTTAACTATGAATGACATAAAACACTCCCTTAAATGGGTTTTTTGAAACTTAAAATAAACCACGTTTTCATTAATTTTGAACACCCTGTATCTTTCTAAAGAAATAATTTCCAGACACATGTTTAAAATAACTTTTTTTGTTATTGTACGAGATCCGACTATGAGATTACTATGTTCATCTGTTTTTTAATCGAAATACAATTTTTATAGATAATTATGAATAGAGGAATATGTTTCTGCCGAGTTGCCTATCAAAATATGGCCGCAAGTATTTTTAATTAAAATTAAATAAATTTTTTCCAAACAATTTCGTCACTTGTTTTTAAGATAAATTATAATTCATTTCACAGAAAGATATGTAAAAAACTAAAATAGGTTGGTAAACGTAACATTTAAAAAAGAAAAAGTCAGACCCGCCCGTGATCCGAACCGAGGACCTCTGGCGCAGTAATGAGCTTTCAAATTGAGCTACCGGCGAGTGGAGCCTTTACATGCTATTTGAAACTTTGGGTCTCCGCAGATGTAAACAGAAAATTTAAAATGTTCAAATTAAGATTTATCGCTATAATATCGTCTCTAAAAGATCAGAACCGCGTAACGGTACAACTCGCCGTGATCCGATCTGTCGGGAAAAAGCATCAAGACAAAATTTATTTTGACGTGTTCACTGACGTTTTGAAAAAATTAATTAATTTAACTTTAATTAAAAATACTTGCGGCCATAATTTATAAAAAAATTGTATTTCGACTAAAAAACAGATGAACATAGTAATCTCGCAGTCGGATCTTAGACTATTATTTTGTGATGCAGAATACATCATTACAGCATTTTAATTAGACAGTTTAAAAATTATTGATATTTCCAAACGAATTTAGCAAATTACCTATCAAAGCATTTTGATACTTTTATAATGAAAATAAAAACAATCTGTATTGTGATGTAATGAATTTTTAATCATTTCACAATTTTTTATAATGGGAAGAAAATTTAAATTATGTTCTAAATTCAGTTAAATTTTATAATTTTATTTTTTACGTACGAATCAACTCGTATTATTTCGTGAATATTTCTTTTCAATTATAAATTTAAATTTATTTATACTTATTACAGACTATATTATAATTATGTTGTACTTTTTATCAATCTTTACGATTAAGTGTTAATGGCTATCGATGAACAAATATCCTCCATACGAAGTGATCAGATGAAATGGTGAATATCGGAACGTGTATAAATATATCTTTTTTATTATTTTACACATTTTATATTAAACACCAAGTTGCACAAGAAATTTTTAAGAATTTGATATGTTTCAAAATTTTGCATTATGTTAGCTAATTGCGAAAAAAGTTGTGCTTTGGTCCTTATCTCAAAAAAAACCTTACAAATGTCAGTTAAAGTTAATTTGTTCACCTTACCATCATATTTTCCTCACCCCAATATTGGTTAAAGGCAAGGTTACAATACTTAAAAAATTATTTTATGTTTTAAACTGTGAATGAGTTTATTATTACATGGTACACACCAAAATAATCGCAGTCTTATGTATTTCACTGTAATTTTTTAAGCGCAGTAATTACTATGTCCTTAAATAAATATAAAAAATAATCACACTTTTTAGGGATATTTTAACAAATATCTGGTTGGACGAAATATACCATACTAGCAACACAAACATACAATACAGGATGTTTCATAAAAGTTTATTTAATGGAAACCACTCCGTTCACAACACCGTATATAAAATATGTTTTATATTCTAATAAAATCATATCAAACATTGGCAAAAATTTCAATATGCAAACTAGTTTCAAAAAATATGTGTTATAAAATGGAAGAACGCTTTTATATGAATCGTACTCTTTGGGGTTTGATCATGACATTATCATTTATGAAGCAACCTGTACAGCAAAACAACGTTTATAAAAATAAATCTCTAACAATGCGTTTTAAGACAATTAATATAAGTTATTTTTGTTGTAGTACTCCTAACGTCTATTTTCATTACAGTCTTATTACTAATGTGACATTAATATACACACTATTATTATAAAAAATAATTTAAAACAATCTTACGCAACTATCAATATTCATATTTTAGACCTAGTTTCGTTTAATAACAATTTTAATTAATCCCACATTATTCTGAATCTATTATTATTGCTCTAAAGCATTTTACTTATCCAATATTGATTTTATCATCATCATAACTTATTCATCCAGAAAAGAAATAAGTTGTTTGTACTAAAGTTGGTGAATAATAGGTATTGCAGCGTTATACCTTTGTCAAAGAATTTTCTTAAAAAAAAAATTCGAAAACAGTCTTAGATAAAATGCTTACTGATGTGGTGTAGGATTTGTTCTTTCGTAAGTTTGAGTTTTAGTAAAAAGACAATATTTTGCAAATAAGGAAACATAAATACTTTCTCGATCAAATTATGTTTAATGTTTAAACAAACAACGATTTGAATACAAGGGTTTCAAAAACCGAATTATTTCCAGCCACATACATTGGACAAAATTAAGGATCGTAAAGAAAACCTGTAAAATGCATTTACCGGTATGTATAAATTTTACTTATTTGCCTTAAATACACTAGTTAAATTATTTTTACTTAAACTATTATAGCAGCTATGAATTCTTAAATACCATCCAAAATGTACTAATGAAGAATTAAATGATTCAAAATTAAAGATTACCAAGGCTTTGAATATTCCTACAGTAAAAAAAAAATATGTATATGGGATGATCCACGTCAAATTGATCAAGCCTGTGCCCAAAATTTGAGATTGATTTGAGAGCACCTACGAAGATGGTTTTCGGCTTAAAAAATTCGTCTTTCCAAGTACTTTAAGATGCTGATTGGCAGAATTGAAAAATCCAAGATGGCGGACATAATATGGCGCCTAGAAGTATGAGAAAAATAAAGAATCGTCCGATAAACTTCTCACAGTAATCAGATTAATCACAAATTCATACCCAAATAGTCTGAACAGGTGCCTTTGACATCGTTGGACATGTGTACGGAGTTATTTTTCAAAAATTGAAGATGGCGAATTTCATATAATGACTTGTAAGGCTAAAAAGCCTGAAATCGTCATTCAAAGGGAAGTGAACTGTCGATTTCACCCATAAACCTTATCTGAACAGATATTTCTCATGTTTTTCAGGACGCTGGAACGTGACGTTGAGTTTGTTTGATAGTATATCATATATCGATTCTAACCTCAAAAGAATAGACAATTTTCATGTTTTTGGAGTCGCTGAAATATGATAATGAGTTTTTTTGATGGTATCATATTAAACACTGAACCTAACCTCAAAAGAATTTGAGAAATTTCGATTTTTTGTTGATATAGCTATAACTTTAAAAGAATAGACAATTTTCATGTTCCTATTATTCTAACGCCTGCTCACTGAAGGATCCTATCTCAATTGTTGAAATTATTACAAATTGATCGGGAGTCATGGAAAATTCACTGGGTACATCTCTTAATAACGTTTATAATGAAAAGCTATTCTAGATGACATTTATTTGACTATAGATTAGAAAAATTGCTTTCCTGCCAAATAATTAACTGGAAAAAAATACCACAATATCGAATCGTCTTCATTTCACATTTTAGTGACCGTAGAAACATGAAAATTGTCTATTCTTTTAAAGTTTAGCTCGCTATATCAACAAAAAATCGAGATTTCTCAAATACTTTTGAGGTTAGGATCAGTTGATACCATCAAAAAAACTCATTATCATGTTTCAAAACGTGAAAATTGTTTTGAGGTTTAGCTCGCTATATCGACGAAAAATCGAGATTTTTTCAAATATTTTTGAGGTTAGAATCGATATATGATATACCATCAAACAAACTCAACGTCGTGTTCCAGCGACCTGAGAAACATGAGAAATATCTGTTCAGATAAGGTTTATGGGTGAAATGGACAGTTCACTTCCCTTTGAATGACAATTTCAGGCTTTTTAGCCTTACAAGTCACTATATGAAATTCGCCATCTTGAATTTTTGAAAAATAACTCCATACTGTTCAGACTATTTGGGTATGAATTTGTCGTTAATCTGATTACTGTGAGAAGTTTATCGGACGATTCTATATTTTTCTCATACTTCTAGGCGCCATATTATGTCCGCCCTCTTGGATTTTTCAATTCTGCCAATTAGCATCTTAAAGTACTTGGAAAGACGAATTTTTTAAGCCAAAAACCATCTTCGTAGGTGCTCTCAAATTTTGGGCACAGGATTGATCCATTTGACGTGGATCGTCCCATATATAAAATATTATAAATTCCTATATTAAATGGAACGATATGAATTTTTATAAACATGGAGAAATGAAAAAGCATAGGTACATTTAACCGGTAAAACTAATAATGCTGAAAAAATTCCGATAAATCATTTTCTTACACAACACTAAAAACGGCTTTAATATATTTTTTTTTAACTTGCCATATTAATTGTTTACATGCTAATACATGTATAAATCTGGGAGAATGTTAACAATTACTTTTTAACTCAGCCTCATTTTTCATACACTACAAATATAAAAATTTTTAGGAAAGGTATAACTATTTCCTTGTAGCATTTAAAGGGTCTGGCTTTGGCCATTATTAGGCTTTTGTACACGTCGCAGGTCTTCCAGCTGTATGAGCTACAAAAAAAGTTGTACTGTTAAAGAGTGACCGAAAAAAACCTGTGATTTTCGCCCATTTTTTCACAATTCGTAGAGAAATAAAAATATGTTTTTGGTCACAAATTACTGGTCGTAAAAAACTGAAATGACCATAGCTCTTAGTATTTTGAAAATTTTTTAAAATCACTCCTACTTAGGGGTTGAAAAAATACCAAAAATGAAGAAATTGAATATTACCAATTGATATAAAAACTATTAGCATGTGAATTATCATAATATATTTTTTTTTTGGAATTTTTACAATTATTTGTGATATTCTCTATTTTTGGGGATGATTCCACCCCCTGAGCATGCTTAAGGGTGGATTTTCTAATTCAACATGCTTATTTCAGTCATGAGAATAAATCTTTCTTTGTATCAAGAATCATTCGATAGAAAAATTCACATGTTAATAGTTTTTATATTTATTGGTAATATTCAATTCTTCATTTTGGGCGTCTTTTCAACTCTTAAAGGGGTGATTTTTGAAAATTTTCAAAAAACTTCTTTTCCACGTGTCACAAGTAATATCTTTAATAAACAGATTTAATTAGCAGCATATCACTGAATTTGTTGTGATATATGGGGTGTTACAAAAAATAATTAGAATTTATTAAGAAGGATTTTATTAATGACTATTTTTTTACGACATTCCCTTGAAATTTTGCTTATAGTTTTAATCCATACTATAATATTTCATGTATAATTTTGATTAAAAAAGAAATCAAAGCGCGAGTAGTTATTGAGGAGACCGATTTTAACGTTCTTTGTATATTTTACAAAGTTTCAAGTAAAATCATGTTAACTGTTATTTTAGAAAAAATTTGTCTAAAGTTTGATTTTTGACGCACTGAATCCCAAAACAAGAGACAATGCTCACGATACAAAAAAATGAAACGTTTAAACCAAAGGCGTGCATACAAAAACGTTGGAGAGGCTAACGGCTACTATAATCCTCTTTCTCCATTCTCGTTAACCAAAATCACAAAAAAATTAAACATTAAATAAAGTCATTAAAAAAAATCCTTTTTGAAATTTCTGATACCCGTATCTTGAAACATACACCTAAATAAAAAATGCTGTCATTTTTTATAACACTTCCTACACCAAATATTTGTTTTCGAAATTTAAATTAAATTATACCCTATGTTAAAAAAAAGCACTGAAAGTGGATAAATGTTAAAAAAGTTTTTGTAAACTTTATTGTATGTTAAAAAAACGCAATGAATGAAGAATAACTTAAAAAAAAAAGTAAAATAATGTTACCTTTTCGATGGGAATGCAGGATAACTCGCCACCCTGATGAGGTGGAGGCAAAGGGGCAGTTGGAGTTACTGCTAGAGCTTTAGCTTTTTCTTGGGCTTCCCTCGCACGTCTTTCCTTCAATTTAAGGGAGAAAATCGCTACAGATCGAGCTCTTTTCATAAGGCTTTGCTTCACTCTAGTTTTCTTTGCCGCTAACTCCTCGGCAGCTAAAAAATACTCAATTTAGAAATACACAGGTTGAAAGGCTTCAGTCGATGGCCTTTTAGTTATATTTATTTTAACTAATTAATAACTAATAGTAATATTAATACCTCTTGCTGCCTCGTCGGCTTCCTGACTAGATACACTTTTCGCGCTATCACTTAGTGACGGGTCTATGGGTATCATGGCCCTCGCTCTCGCGGGAATGTTATTAGTTGGTGGAGTTCTGGGCCTTGGGGGCCATAAAGGACTGCTTTTTAAGAGATCCGAATCCGAGCTGGACGAATCCTATTCCAACAAATGAAATTTTAACAAATTATATACGAGAAATAATTCTTCCATGTACCTTTTGTGTTATACAGTCCGTACTTCTGTGGATATCGGTCTCTTCTTTAAGTCTCCGAGCCCATTCAATCCCTCCGCTCGGGCCAATGGTCAAATGGTGAGTAGTCTCAGACTGAAGCGATAATGTCATATAAAAGATTAAAATTAACAATAAGTTTCATAAATTATTTCAAATTTCACATGCAATCACAAAAGATGAAGGTTTGTCTAGATTGTCCCAAAATGTTTTACTGTGTATTGTGTACAAAATGTATCTTCATTACTTAAGACCAAATAGAAAAAGTATGGCGAAAAGAATAAAATTATAGTATGGCAAAGAGATTATAAATACTGTTGAAAATATTTTTTTAATTTCGGGCATACACAAATCTGATCGGCAGAGAAATCGACCAATCAATGCGAGAAAACAAATTTTCGACGAGCATCACTCTAGCAGTTGTCATATTGGCAGTTGGTGTTAGTAACATTGATTTTTGGTTTGATAATTCGAGTAGTACTATTTTCTTAGCTAGATTTACATGCACGCCATTGAGTAACGCAATCTGAGTTGCCAAATCACAAATTTAGTTTGATTGAACCTAAATGTTTATTACTTTCTTTTTGTTCTCTAATAAATTATCACCTAGACTAAATTAAAGTTTAAAATTTCGTAAGCTGAAATCAAATGTGCCATAAAGAGAGAGGCAGGGTTTCTTTTATAAGTGATTGAGAAAATAAAAACTACAGTGAATAACGACAAAATTATGAATGAACACACTCCTACCATCCCCAAAGAAATTACAATCGCTTTACAATATAAGCCATTCCCAGATACGGGGTCTCTCTCCTCAATCCTTTCCATGGTTAGGTACTTAAGTAATGAGGAAATAACCATACCAGCCAATAACTTTCCGGAAAGGGACACTGCCAGAACAGACAGAGCTACAGGGGGAATACATGCTCTGGAGAAGGATGGCACTGAATAATTAATTAACGTCATAAGTGAATATGACAATTTCAATAATGGTTTACATACATTCAAGTGGCGGTGAAAAGAAGTATTTGAACAATTTGCATCTATTATGTCTCAAATTGAAACTGGTGCAGTGATTGACATAGGTAATGAGCCTTGCCATAGTCGACGAATAGAAAAATTGCCGACATCTGCATGGAAAAAAGAAGAAATCAAGTAGTTGAATGAAAAGTATATTGAATAAAAAGATATGATGTTGAAAATACAATTATTAGTGATTACATGAAGAAAAAAAACCAAATGTATGAAATATGTTGTGAATGGAATGGTTAAAGCTCACTGTGTTATACTACTTCGATTGCCACCATACCACTGTGAACTAAACTCCACTGAACTAATCTGGGTGAATATAAAAATTTATGCGGAACTAAATATTTCAACTTTTAAATTCTGTAAGAGACAAATTAATCAAGAAACTGCACTCACATTCATTCTTCACATGCCTAACGAATCGCACGAATCTACACGTTAAGAAAGAGTCACTGAATAAATGTCAGATAAAACTCAACGCTAACTCCTAAATTTTTTGTAACAAGTAAATTTTAATCAAATTCGATACAAACCTCTGCTGGTGTCCATTCTCTGGACTTCCTAGGTCGAAATGGTGGAATCTCTTGAATACTATTCACAGTGATACCCAAGTTCTTGTGGCTTGAAGTGGAACCGCTAGACACAGAAGTGGGCGTCGTAACAGGTGTAAGTTCCGTAACAGATTCCGACTCAGGTTCTTTCAGTTTTTCGTTGGATTTTGTAACATCTTTAGAACTCTGGGTGACTAAACTATGACTAGGCGATACAGAAAACCTAAAAAAAAAACCAACATAATAATTGTCTTTTATTAATATAAAAATTAAAACTTACCGTCCGATAAGCTTTGCAGTTAGCTCTTCTGGCGATGGAGTCGCATTTGAGATTCTACTGGCCTCCCTTCGAGCCCATTCGATTTTGGCCATTTCAGTTGCCAGCCAACCAGGTATGTCAGGAATGGCACAGGTTATAATAAATCTAATAACAAGCATGATATGCTGAAAGAAAGGGCAACCCAATTATGCAAGAATTTGTATTTATTTCAAGCTAACGGTTACCTCTAAAGCAACAATTAACAATATCGTTTGTGTGGCAGTCATGTCCGGAAACATGCGATGAACTTGTCCCGATAGGCCTATAAGGGCACAATTCACTAACACAGCCATGATACTCATACATTCCATACAGTTCTAAAAGAATTAAGTGATTTAATTGAAATTGCAACTCAATATTAAATTTCAGAATACTTTTATCTCTAACTCCGCTTACCTGCCATGTTCCAATATTTGGAACTCTCTGTCCAAACGGTCGCTGACAGACATACGCTAGTTTGAAAGCATCGCTCCTGATTTCTATCAAATTATTTAACATGGCGCATAGTGCTGCAGGAGGAAAGGCAGACGAAAATAGTATAACATAACCGAGTTGTATTGTCATTTCTAAGTGGTCAGTGAAGGTTCCGTCATACTAGAAAAACAGTTTTAATTATACAGGATGTAACTTTAAGAGAGGGGTCTTTTTTTGCGTAATACTACGTGTTCCCTAGAATACTAATCTGTAATGAATTCTTTTTAAATTGAATAAACAGTCGAGCTATGATTCATTATTTAAACTATTCATAAATTGTAAGTAATCTCCAATTTATCTGGGAATCTGGCCGCAGAATTGCTCTATAACGTCATGTTTTTGAGATATCCTAACCTAAATGTGCATAAAACATTGTTTTTCGTCATATTTGAGGTTATATAGTAATGTATTGTAGTATTCTTTTTATAAAACAATACATATAATTTAAAAGTACAAGGCTCCCTGTTTCGAATGTTGTTGAGTTTGCTCAAATATCCTTTTTTTTCGTTGAGATATCACATGCCGAAAATTCTAAGTTTATCAGTTTCTTAATATGCTAAAATCTACTTGAATCCCTTAGACGTCAAACAGTTGATTGCAGTTCAGAAACTTCATACTCAGAAACCTTACAATACATACGAACTCAAACTCACAAACTCCAAATCCACAAACGCACAAATCCCAAATCCACAATCCCTAAACCCACAAAACCCGAACCTACAAACTCCAAGCTTACAAACCCCAAGCCCACCAACTCCAAACCCACAAACCGTATGGGTATGAAGTTTCTGAATTGCAATCGACTGCTTGATGTCTAAGGGATCCTTAGAGATTTTCGCATATTAAGAAACTGAGAAACTTAAAAACTTCAACATGTGATATATCAACGAAAGAAAAAAGATATTTGAGCAAAGTCAACAGCATTCGAAGGAGGGAGTTTTGTACTTTAGATTCAATCTCAATGTATTAGTTTTTTGAAAAAGAATAGATGGCATTACTTCATAACCTCAAATATGACGAAAAACAGTATTTTTTGCACTTTTAGGTTAGGATATGTCAAAAACCTGACGTGATGGAACAATTCTGCTGCCAGATTCGGATTCAGCGCACCTAAATCCTTCGGAAATATATATTCAGGTTTCTGCTTCCAAAAAATGTTAAATTTTGTTGGTCTGTGTTATTTATTGCTTTTTTATAAAATGCACATAATAAAAAATAAATAAAAATCATTAAATATCTCAGAAACAAGGCCAACTATCGAAAAAAAGATGAAAAAGTTTCAAAATTCATGAGGCAAAGGTGATGTGCAGCTGTTTTATTGAAATTAATTAATTTTTTTAAAGTTTTGAAATAATGTAAAATACACTTCTAAGAGGGATAGGTGGTTTGAACTTAAAGTGCTTATGTAAGATCATAAGGAGTGTTTGTGTTCTAAACTTCACGTCAATGAGATGATAATTCAAACGTTATGAGGGAAAAAGGGGAAAAAATTCCTACTTCAACGCCCTCTATCTTCAAAACGGTGCAATTTAGGAAATAAGTTTATATCACGAATGAACATTATTTTAACCTGTTCTATCGATTCCTGAAGTTATCCAAATTAAACCTAAATCACCCTGTATAATATAAAGTGCAATGTATATCATTTCTTTGAATTTGTTTAATGTTAATAAATAACTAGTTTCGTTAATCAATAAAATTCAATAAAGTTGTAATCGTGCAATATAACAGTACGAGAGAATGATATGCTGCTAACCCAACAGTCAATTGGTCTGTTGACAGTCATGCTTGTTGCTTCCTGAAAGTGTTTTTCATATCAATATTTCGTTAGTTTTTCTCGTTTTTCTATTTGCATTTTAAAATATTTTGCACAAGTTTTTTTTACTGTTAATAATTTATGAAATAGATCACAGCATTTCTGCTAGAGCATAACATATGTATCACTGTTATTTTGGCCAACGACAGGTGCCTAATAGGACATTCGTTGATGTACCTCAATGCCTTCATGATACAGGTATTGTGGTAGTGTTGTTGATTGCCCTGAAAATCATGGTCTAAACAGACAGGTGGATGTAAATACCAAAGAACATATTTTAGATTTTGTCGAAAGGGATCTGAGATCTCACTGGAAATATCGCTCTAGAAATTGGAGTGTCTCACTGGACCATACCCAAATTCTACGAGAATGATTATTACATCTGTATTGTCTAAAACGAATTAAAGAATTGTCGGTTATAGATTTCGCTCCTCAGTCAAATTTTTGTAGATGGTGTTTAACTAGAACTGGTCTCAAGTCCCATTAAGTTTTAAGAATTTTATGGATGAAGCATGTTTTACTAGAAATGACTTAAAATAAAAAAAAAAGCAACATATAGAAAGATCAAATTTCCAGCAACGTTTTTCAATTAATATTTGGTGTGGTACCAAAAGACAATCTAATAGGGCATTTTGCATTTCGAGGCAGGTTTATTAGATATTTTCAGGTGAGTGAAAATGGAATGTGTGCCTTTAAAAATGACACTTTTTATTTTTAGTAAGTGCATAAATTATTTTATTAATACAGTTACGATCACTTGGGTGACGTGATTTTTAAATGTTTTTATTACATATATTTTTAATTTTGATTAATTTATACTCTAGCAAAAGTATCTTCTTACTATGAAATTCGTTACTTCTACTAATGATCTTTACAAAAATGAAAAAAAATATATTAATTTTCAACGACACAACAAAAATTGTTTACCTTTTTTCAATTCTTTGTCATTCACTATTAAAAAAAATATAACGCATTTTAAAATAAAGTTAATGTTAAGCTCATGTAATATACAATCATTTTTTTTTCATTTATGCTTAATGTATCTTATGCTAAAATAGTGGCAAACTCCTAACACACTGTATACTAATGATTTTTTTTCTGTTTACCTTGTAAAGGGTGCTCTCCAACTCAGCCTGACTCATTGTCCGCTTAGCGCTGGCTTGATCCGACCCCTCCGTTTCTTTCATTTCTGTACTCTGTGATTCATTCAAATCCTCTGAATCTCCCGGAGGAGGTTTAGTATTGAGAGGGCTCAAAGCTCCCCACATGTCAAAACTCATTTTGGCCAGACGCATGTGTTCTAACATGTAAGGTAAGGCGGACTCCTTCAAATTGCCGATAACCTGCCTGGCTATGAGCAAAGCGGCCAGTTGCTACAAGATAAATTTTATTTTGGGGTTCGATGGGTTTTTTACAATACTGACCTCTTTCAGTCGGGCTTGATCTTGCAAGTAAAAGGCAATGTAAAATAAGGAGAGAAAAGAATTGACAAATTGGAACTGGAAAAAATGAATTATATGAGTAATAAGTTATATTAATTAAATAATGGGACTACATGATGTGAATAAGACATAAGAAGTTTGAACTCAATTCCCTAATAATAATAATACTAAAAGATTCTGGAAAGATGGAATATTCTGATATTCTTTTAAAAATTCTTATCATCCCGCTTCTGATTTATATAGTTTACTTCTTATTTTTGTACGCAAATGTAAATTTTTTCAACAATCCAATAAAATACAACACTTGCATTGTCACTAGCAAAAAATACTATACTGAAAAAGTAATTAGGGAATTAAGTCGAGCTGATTATTTATTTGATGACAGCTAAGGCGTGCAATGTAATGTCTAAAAATTAGAATCTAACAGGACTAGACAATCTCCAAAGACTCTCTAAAAGATGAGATTCTATAAGACTGGGAAGCATAGTATAGTACGAAATACAAACCAAGGCGACTTTCCCGATGAGGTGATTTTCGTACTTGGTCTCAAGTCGGTAATTTTCTAAGAGCAGCATGGTAAAAAAACAATGGCTTACAGTTAAAACTAACTAAAGTTGGCTAACATACAAAAGTAAAACAGAACAAAGTTTCTAACAGTATTTGAAACTTTTGTAATAAGTATTCAACGAAACATGCCTTGGTATTTTTAGTGTACTAAAATTCGTTATAAATAACATAGACCCTAATGAAGACACCGACATCGTGCATAAATTCTTTGAAAACTAATTGGAAACAAACTATTACTCAGAAGGAATCATATAAACTTAATATTTTAAGTGTGTTAATTAACAATTTCAAAATTAAAAACATTATAATAAAAATCAAATGGATTGAAACTAATTGACTTTTGTTGAAACATATTTTACATTAACTTCAATATGTATGAATTTTAAAAACTCACCTTTATCGTTCAGCCAAATAGCGATTTTAAAATAAGCCTCATCCATCAACGATATGATGACGGCCAACATTATTTTTGGGAGGTAACCAAGCCACATAGGTAAACCTCGATTTCTCAGAACCCCATCCCAATAATCCTAATAAAAATGAAATAACATTTAAAAACAGGGAAGGCAGTGCATTCGGCTATGGGTCTGCTACTAACCTGGATCTGCAAACTTAATATCATGATGAAGAATACGGTGGAAAGACAAACTGCAATGACAGGCACCGAAATGCAGTAACGGAACACATGCCTCTTCCACGGAGGATGGTACGGTTCCAAACGTCCCGTTACAGGACTAGGCTGCAAGGGTCCCTGGGAACATATTATAACATGTCGCGGCAACTGATGACACGTCGACATGTTAAAGCTATATAAGCGCTACTATAAAGAAGCGTTTCAACTTATCGAGGTAAAATAAAATATAAGAACGAAAATAGTGGGTGCTCTAGTTATGCTGTGTCATAAGAAATAATTATGCGGTTACATTTAAGGCTATTATTTCTAAACAAAGCAAACTAATTAGTTTAATTATCAAGTCTCAATGTTTTACGAAAAAATGTTGTTCTGTGACAGAATCGTGTATTGGGAAAAAAAGCAGTTTTAGATAATTGACTGAACTATATTTTAATATCGTTTGTTACTTTTTTGTAACATTTCAGTTTCAATATTTTCTGAAAAACGACACGGTTAAGATTTTTATATCAACTGTTAATGCATGAAAGCCAAATCTAAAAATTCAGACACTTCGATATTTTTAAAAAAAAAACATGCATTGGAGAACGCAGCTATTGCCGTATATTTCAGATAACCTGACTAAGACTTAATCTTACCCTAAACAAAGGCCTTGGTTCTGCTAACAAGTCGTCTCTTTGATCCAAAGTACCCCATCGAAAAGCCAACTCAGCTGAGTAACGCTTCCAAGCTTGTAAATATGTCGTTACCCATACCACATTGAAAACCGAGAACAGTACATATCCTACATCTTCTAAAGTTTGATGTTTTCCGTTGCAACATATCTAGAAATATAAAATTTCAAAAAACAGATGAAAAATTTTTAAGACTATATATTACATTTTTGCATGCACTTAAATACTCACCCAAAAAAGAAACCCAAAGATAGCAGGTATACTTAAAGCAGTTGTATAGTGTCCTAGCCAAGCAAAATACATTCCAATTTTCACTCCAAAGTATTCAGTTATCTCATCTGAAACACAATTTTTTGTTATGTATACTTATTTAACAATGTCTATTACGGATTTACCTAATGGTTGTCGAGCCAGAACATTCCGAACCCATGAATTTTGCAACTTATCTAAAGCAGCAGGTTCATGTAACGGGAAAACTTGGGAAATAATTCCGGAAGTAAGACACTTTGGAACTGAAAAGAGAAAAATTACAAAAATAGTACCTAAAATAAAAAACAAGGGCAACACAAGCTTAAGGCTAAACTTCATAATATTATAAATGAGGTTTTACCAATTGGTTGTCCTTCTAATAGAGTTAACCCAGGAACAACATTTACGTCATTGCATTTTGCTCTAATGCTTTCGAGAAGCCTTAGAACTAACCACTGCCTTTCTTCAGTTGTAAAAAAAGGGTCTTCATTGGGAGCACCTTCGTAAGACAGGAAATCTTGCACAAAAAACTCTTTCAAACCACCACCTTTACTTTCTTTCAATGCTTTTGGGAGGTGATATTCTTCTGCAGCTTTCAGAAGGCTAAAAAATGATATATAATCGTCATCTTCAAGTCTTTGTAGGGAAACTTACATTGGAAAAGGAGCAGTGAGGTAGAAAGCGCTACTCTGTGTAGATGCATGGTGTCTAACGTGCACGGTTAAACCTGGAGATTGCCTGAGTTTGGATAATAACCACAACAACACAGAATCCTGGGCACCAGGTGGGAAAACAACAACAACATCACAGTTTGGAGTAGAAACTCTTTTTAGCCATAATCTCTTAGGGGCCAGAAAATGTCCAGCGCAGGGTATTTTCTTCTTCAAGAGTTCTGAAGCTATGAAGAATTTTAGTTTAATTAATGAAAACAATTTTTTATAAACAAATTCGTCCTTCACTTACCTTGTTCAAACTTCTGCTGGGCACACTGTACAAATTTTCTTCTGCGTAAATTTGGAACTGCCTCAGCATCTTTATCGGACTCTGGGGTCGCCATTTCACCCTCATTTGACATAATTAAACTTTGTAAGTGCTCACGCGATATTTGGAAGTTATAATCATTAATCAATGAAAGGGGTAGTTAAGTAACAGGGTTCGTTACGCCTACACTTTAAGATTTTCCACCACTTTCAAATGACTGATTTGCCTACCTGCCAAAGTTTTTAGACACAACATGACAGATACCACTGATACCAGAGACAGAGCACAGAACTGACAGACACCACAAAACAATCTTAAGCTATGATACTAGACTTTACACTAGACTGACAGGCAGAAAATACATATATCTAACTCATAGACCTTAATAAGGTCTATTATTATGATCTAACTGGAGTCCAAGGATATTTCGATTCTATGAATGTAAATTGTGATAGTTTGGTAGTCAATACTGTCAATAGTCACGGTCAATAGTTATCTACCAGTTCTACTACATACCCATCTACTACATACCCCCCCCCCCTCACAGTTGAGTTTATATCCTGTTTGTGTTTTCTAGAACCTGACAAACAAAAACAAAACTGAAACAAACCCAACAATCCATCAAGCAATCCATCCATTGTTTCCATCAAGCGAGCTACATTTTGTTCGAGTTTTGTTTTTGTTTTCGGTCCTTTTCCACTGGTTGTCCCGAGGAAGTCAGAACACATTTTTCCAATAACAAACCAAACATGTTTAGAGATTTTTTTATTCCTAGTTATGGCTGGTTTGTACTCAAGTCCTTGGAAAAAAGTTAGTGTATATATGTACGGTTAAAGTGTTTACTTGGTTAGTTAGTTAGTTTGTATACTAACCAAGCAAACACCTTAACCGTACACATATATATTTTTAATAGCTATAATTCATTAATGATTAAAATATTGTTTTTGGGAAGAATAAAACGCCAACATAGATATTGGGTTGGATCACTTAAATAGAAAACACAACACGACCGTTTCAATTAAACAGACTTGAGTTTCAAAACACGTGGAAACGTTTTGATGTGACCGCTTTCGAACGGGACCCGAAAAACAAAACTCCAACTGTCGCAAAACACGCCAGTCTTCAAAAAGTTTGCGAAAAGTTACAGTTCTGTTTTATTCGACACAAGTTTGTTTTGTTTTTGTTTTGTCCGTTTAGTGGAAAACCGCCTTAAGGTTTCTAAAGTTTCTGTTTAGAAACCTTGATACCCATCTACTCGGCTACCAGACAGGATTTCGTTTTGGAAAAAATAGTACCTATTAGCAAGTAATATCAGTTCAGAGTAACTCTAAGTAAGTGAAAGAAATTTACTAAATCTACTTATCTTTTTGACTGTGCATTAATTGTTCTTTGGAATGAACTTGCCAAAAATTTGAATAATAAATACGCCTCAATGGTTTTATTTTAATGCAGACAAAAAATAAAGATGCAATTGCTACATTCAACTGACGGAGTTTTAGGCCCCGAGTCTTTTAGCTCATTATTTTGTTGCGAGGGATTCGTCATGATGTGTTTAAAACAATCGTAATTTCTGATTGGCTTTGCATAATCCATCACGTCGAAATGATAAATAAAAGAACATTCTGTCGGCTGAATGTAGACAATGACCGTAAGTGGCATGGTATGAATTACATCATGTGTAGGTGGTACTACCACTGGTACCACGATATATCGTTAAGCTCATCTAAAACTGCCTAAGAAAACAAAAATATAGAAGTAAAAAAATTTAAATTGTGGAGCTGTGGATGTGCAGTAATCTGTAGACAGAAAATTCATTGTAATCTACCGCTAATGTGAATTTTCACCCTTTATACATTACACGACCTTTAACTTTTATCGCGCGATAATGAAAAAGTATTTACTTTAAAATTACGATTTTGTTTCTTAATAACACATTTATCATCACTGATTGAATTTACTTCATATGTTCACAAATACACAATACAAAGTCAACTGTTTTGCTTAATAAGAAATTGTAAAAATATACATATTTATTAAACATTAAAATCATTAACATGGCATATCAATATATTCACACAATTATGAAAGTTCACAGTGCCTTTTTGTTAGTAATAAATTTATAGTTTCAGTTGTTAATTTTAAGTGTTATAAACTTTTAGATTGGGATATTAGCAACTGCAACTACAGATAAAATGAAAAACAGTTAAACGTATTGCCACTATAGGCTTTTCACCTAAGGGATTTATACAAACAAATAGAAATGATAGAATTACAAAAATATAAAACATAACTACAAGCAAATATATGAATAGCTTAGTGAAATTTATATTGTGGGGAAATAATATCTTACAAAGTTGTACTTAGTCTACAAATAAATCAGTCTATTACGGGTTTTTATCTATCACTGATTCAAAATCAATCAGCATTTAAGACAAAATACGCAAGTAATCTACCAAAACACCAAAATGTTATATAATGCTTAAACAACCTCAATTTCATAATTTTGTCTTTCTAAAACCAACCAATTCAAGTTCTTGAAACCAATTTAAGTACTTGACACATGCATATAGTAATTTTAAAATTCAAATTATACAAGAACTTTATAAATAAATAATTTTTGTACAAAAAATAAACATCATCCATTCAGTTATTCCAAAATTCAATTTGAAATGAAAAATTGTAATGTTAATTTGTTTACAAAAGAAAGAAAATAGTGCAACAATAATAAAAAAGTATTTTGAATGTTATCGATTAGTTACATTTCCCAGGTCAAAAACAGTTTCGTCCTCTTCATCTTCATCAAGAGGTAAAGGTTCCATTTCAATATCTGATCTTCTTGTTTTTACTCCATATTTTTTTATTAATGGGCTTTTCTTATTTCCCTTTCTGTGAAAGAAAATGGAGAATAAGGTAATTTTTTATGTATTAGAAACCAAATAATTTGAAATACCAGTAAGTCTTACCTAAAATATGTCTTGAAGCCTATATACATTATACAAATCATAGTTATTCCAACAAAAACAAAAATTCCTCTCATTACCGCTCCAGATTCAATCTCTGCATTTGCACCAGTTTTAATATTAGCATTGTTAACTAAAACATTTGGAGTTGTTACAGTATTGTTTGAAACATTCTTAGTTTTCTTGTCATCAACTTTTTTCTCATTGTTTACTAAATGTGTATTTTGGACATCCTTTTTTCCCATTTTAATAGTTTTTTTACTTGTGATATGAATTTCAGATGCTTCTTCTTGTCTTTTTGTATTTTCCTCGGCGCCCATCAAGTTTGCATGGTGTTTATTCATCCTGTTAGTCCTATTTGGTTCTGGAGGAAGAGAAGATAAACTACATATACATAGTAAAAAAATATAAAAATACAAGGTACTATATCCCATTATTGATATTGTGCGTAGATATTTTTAAAAATTTTAATATAGTTAGGCTTAATTATGTTATTATTATTTACATATTTTTTTATACAAAAATATAAATCACTTAATAAACAAATCAAATTAAGGTTATGATTGGTTATGGGTTATGGCAGGGAGACTAGATGTGTAGTCTCCATGGGTTATGGTTTGGTCTTGGTCACCATAGATAAAAGAATACTGATCATAACATAACCGAACTGTTCGCGCGCCATTATTTCATGGCTGGAAATTGGCCACAATGATTTGGGATTGAGGGGGATTATCCCTCTTTATCCTGCCTCATCTCATGTAGGCCTGGACAGCCTTCGTAGGTGGGCCCCATCCGTCGTCTACTCCGACCGCAAATGCGGTCGGAGTTTTATCCTGGCTGGGTCCCGCCGGCTAGGACCCTTTCTTCTGGCGCTCTTCTCTTCAATTTTCATATTTTCAATTTTAATGTTTCTCAGTCTCAAGGGGGCTTTCGTTTTGGAAAAAATAGTACCTACTTGCAATTAATATCAGTTCAGCATACGTTCAGAGTAACTCTAAGTTGCTATTAACTACTGATAGCTACTATTTTTGCCAAATCGAAAGGCCATCTAGTGGTTTATTTTTTATCTTCTTCTTCTTCTTCTTCTACGTTTGACTGTTAAATTTCAATAAATTAACAGTTACATAATCAGTTCCTAGCGGGCAGCCGACCAGAGCACACGTGTTTTGTGAAAGTGTAGTGCAAGGAGCAAATTCTACCTGCCTTTATTAAGGCTACCTGGAAAGAATCCCTTTCTTTCCTTTTAATCACCGACCTAATCCCCGGCTTAAGCATAGACGCCGTCGGCATCTTTGTTACAGCACCTGTGCCGGGGTTATGCCCAGGTAAGTTTTTACTTATTTATCAGTTATTTGCATTACTTTAGAATACATTTCTTTAAAATTGCGACCCCCGACAAACAATATACCAGACAGACAAATACACCAAAAGACACGTACGCCCCCGTGAGGGGGCATCCCCACACGACTAACACTTACACACCTTCCC